CACCAACCTGCCACCTATACTGCCTGCCCGGCCAACCGGTCACCCTGCCCCGCCCTCCAGGTTTGACCGCGAGCTCGTGTTCCCGCTGCCCAACCTGTCCGCCCGCGCCGACATCCTGCGCATCCACACAGCCAAGTGGGCCGACGCGCCCGCACCCGACCTCCTCCAGGAGCTGGCCTCGCTGTGTGTGGGCTACTGCGGCGCAGACCTCAAGGTGTGGCTGGCCGAGGAGCGCGTTGGGGTGGGGGGTATGGTCGCCCACGTCTACACACTCAGAGACACACACACACACACACACACCGCTCCGCACCGCTCCGCACCGCCCGGCGTGACTGCCCCCCATGCACATGCAGGCGCTGTGCACGGAGGCGTCCCTGGCCTCCCTGCGCCGCCACTACCCCCAGATCTACGACGCCGACGAGAAGCTGGTGGTGGAGCCGGGGCGGGTGCGGGTGGCGCGCCGTGACTTCCTGGCCGCCCTCCAGACCATCACGCCAGCCTCCCACCGCTCGGCGGCGGCCCACGCGCGGCCCCTGCCGCCGCTGGTGGCCCCCGTACTGCTGGACCACCTGCAGCGCGTCACCGCCCAGCTGCAGGCCGGCTTCCCCGCCGCCGCCGCGTGCCTGCGCTCCGGCTTTGGAGGCGCGCGCAACCCCGCCGCCGGCTTTGGCGCCGCAGCCGACGGCGACGTGGCCGGTGGCGGCGGCGACCCGCTGGGCGGCTTCAGCTGGGCCTCGGGCGCCGGGCTGGGCGTGCAGCGGCCCCGCCTGCTCATCTGCGGCCCCGAGGGCACGGGGCAGGCGCACCTGGGCCCCGCGCTGCTGTACGCTCTGGAGGGGTTGCCCGTGCACGCCATCGGGCTGCCGGCGCTGCTGTCGGATGCGGGGGCGCGGGCGCCGGAGGAGGCGCTGGTGCACGCGGTGGTGGAGGCGCGGCGCGCCGCGCCCGCCGTCCTCTTCCTGCCGCACTTGCAGGTGTGGCGCGCTGCGCTCTTGTTTGTGTGTGTGGGTTTGGTTGAGCGCCCGCCGGCCTGCTTGGCCTGCCTACCTGCCTGGCGCCCACCCCTGCCTGGCCCGCCCCGCCTGCCCCGCAGGTGTGGTGGGACACCGCCCCCAACTCGCTGCGTGCCACGCTGTGGATGCTGCTGGCAGACCTGCCGCCAGACCTGCCCCTGCTGCTGTTTGCCACAGCCGACGTGCCCGCCTCGGGTGAGCACGCGCGGCCCAGGCCAGCCTGTGCAGCTGCCAGGCGCGCCCATTGGGTGCTCCAGCAGCAAGGGCGGCAGCAGGCTGTGTTTGTCCATCCGCCAAGCCGCTGCACGCTGTGCCGCTCCTCACCCTGCCGCCGCCGCCGCCCATCTGTGCAGAGCTGGACCCCTCTGTGCAGCAGCTGTTCAATGTGGCCTCTGGCGGCGCCTACCAGCTGGAGCCGCCCACCGCCGACCAGCGCTCTGCCTTCTTCGGCGGGATCGCCGCCGCGCTGGCGCTGCCGCCGCCGCCCGCGCCGCCGCCCGCGCAGGCGGCGCCGCGCCCCGAGCCGCTGCCGGCGCTGCCGCGGGCGCCCGAGGCGGAGGCGGCTGAGCGGGCTGCCAAGAAGAAGGCGGAGGAGGCGGCGGCGAGGCAGCGGTGAGCGAGTGTTGCGCTGGATGTTGGCAGCCCGTGCAGCGTCTGTCTATGTCTACCCTCCAGCCCTTGCTCACCCCACCCCAGCATGCGCGTCCCTCACGCCCCCCACCCCTGCCACCCCCCTCTCCCCGCCCCGCAGGTACGAGGAGGACCAGGCGGTGCTGCGCACGCTGCGCATGACGCTGCGCGAGCTCACCATGCAGCTGCTGGGCAGCAAGCGGTGGGAGGTCTTCTGGGGGCCCGAGCCCGCGGAGTCAGACTGGTGGGACAAGGTGCGAGTACCTCGTGTGGTCGCGGCGGCGCCACCGGTACTGCCACCGGCGGCTGGCAGAGATGAGCTGCGCTGTTTGTTGAGCGGGTGCTCGAGGAGGTGGCACGCTTGGCGGGTATGCCGCCGCCGCCCTCGCCCTGCCTGCCCTGCCCGACTCTGCCCGCCTGTGCCCCCCCCGCCTGCACCTTCCCCAGGTGAGCGAGCCAATGGACTTGGCCACCGTGCTGTCCCGTGTGGATGGGCGCCAGTATGCCACGCCCCACGACTACCTGGCTGACGTGGCACGCATCGTGCAGGCAAGCGGCAGCGGCGCCACCTGCTGTGCGGCCAGACGGGGAGGCCGCAATGGTGGCGGGGTGCTGGCATTTGTTGTGGGAGGCCTGAGCGGCCGTGCCGGCTGCTGTCGCCTGGGGCCGGCGCCCACCCTGGCCTCACTGCTGTGCTATGCTGCGCCTGCCCTGCTGCAGTGCTCTCGCGAGCACTGGGGCCCCACCCCTGGGAGCGAGGGGGTGCGGGAGATCAGCCGGGCGTGTGCGTTGGAGGATGAGGCGCGCGGCGCGCTGGCGCGGGCGGTGCCCGCTGAGCTCCTGGCACGGCTGGAGGAGATGGTGGTGCAGGGAGGGCCCACGCCGCCGCCGCCAAGTGAGCGCGCCCGCCGTCGCAGAGGCGTGCCATTGCCTGGCCGCCGCTGCTGATGCCAGCTGGCACTGCTTGGTCGCGGAAGCTGGCCCAGACAGTGTTGGTGCAGCACCTGTGTTGGGTGCCCCGGGCCTCGACTCGTGACGCATGTTGCACTGCAGGCCTGCTGGCTGTGCCCGGCGCGGCGGTGCCAGTGGATGGCAAGACCCCCGCAGCCCACATCCAGGCGCGGCGGCCCGGCCTGGCCGCCCGGCCTCATAGCGACGATGCGGCGGGGCGGCGCGCCACGCGGCACGCCGCCAGCCCCATTGACAGCCGCCTGATGCACACTGACCCTGAGGCCATGCGGCGCCACATCTTGGCGCAGCGCAAGCAGGAGCAGCAGCTTCTGCAGCAGGAGCAGCAGTCGCAGGCGGCGGCGGCGGCCACGGCCGCGGCCGAGGCCGAGGGCCTGCAGCGGGAGCAACAGCAAGAGCAGCAGGAGCAGCAGCCCGAGGGCAAGGCCGCGGAGGCGGAAGAGGCAGCTGTGGCTGCTGGCGCTGGCCCCTCGGCGCCTGCCAGCTCCGCTGGGCAGGAACGCGAGGTGTTGGTGGAGAGCACCAAGGAGAACCTCCCTGATGCGGCGGCCGCCGCAGCCGCCACCACCCCTGGCGCTGCTGCCGACAGCGCTGCTGCCGCTGCCGGCGCCAAGGCGGCCAAGGGCACGCTGACTGCCATTGTGGAGCAGCATGGTGGCAGCAGGCTGCGGCGCGAGGGCAGCACCCAGCAGGCGCTGGCCAAGCAAGCAGCCGCGGCAGCACCCGAGGAGCAGCCGGAGCCGCCCCCGGCGGCAGATACCGCGGAGCAGGGTGGGGCTGCAGCGCCAGAGGCGGCGCCACCGTCCCGTCAGCCAACCGAGGTCGACCACGCTCGCGTGGGCAAGCTGCAGGCGGCGCTGGTGCAGCACACCCAGGGGCTCGTGTTGGACAACCTGGAGAGCATTCACGCCAAGCTCAGCAGGTGCGCCAGCTGGCCCGGCAGGGGAGCAGCAAACACCCTGCTGGAATGCTCCTCCTTGCTGGTGGCTGGCCTGTAGCCTGCCAGCATGTATGTTCACACCACCCTGTTGTCACACGCCGTCTGCAGGCTGGCTGTGGACCAGCGGCTGGCTCAGGACCGGGACCAGGTGGCGGAGGCGGCGCTGGCTGCTGTCCGCGAGTGGCGCGCGGCGCGCCAGTAGTTAGTTGCTCCTCGTGATTTCCAATCGTACAGTACAGTCAATTGGTGGTTGGTTGGCGAGTTGGCTGACTAGCGCCTGCTGTGACCTGACTTGACCTCTGACGCGTCCCACGCATGCATGAGCAATGTGCTGTCGCCGTGATCCGTCTCTTTCACACTGTCTACATTCTCCCCACCATTTCATCTGTGAAGAACTGGCCAATACAACGCAGTGCAGTACGCTCCAATTGAAGGCAGTGCCGCAGGCACACAGGTGGTGGGCAGCAGATGCGGCAACGCATCCGTTCTCGCCAGGCATCTGCAACTGGCACCCCCGGCAGCCAAGGTGCTCACGCAGCTAGCGCGTGCTCCTGAGCAGCGCATGGCGGGCCTGGTAGAACTTCACGATGTCGGCGTCGGCCTGGCTGTTGCCCGTCAGCAGCGGACGCGCGGCAGACAGCACCTCAGCCTCCACCCCGGCAAATGGGTCGGGTGGCGCCGCCTCAGCCACCAGCTGCAGGGGTGGCGGCGGCAACTGCGGCTGCGGCTGCTGCCGTGGCTGCACAGCTCCTTGGGTTGGGCTAGATGCCGGGCCCAAAGCGGCGCAGCCTGGAGTCACGACTGGACTTGAATCCGCGGGGCCCTGCTGCTGGTCGAAGAAGAAGGAGGGAGCCGCCTTCCAAGAGCTGAACAACGGCAGGGCTGCTGCTGCTAACGGCGGCGCTGCCTCACCCCGCTGCCAGCCTGTACCAGGGGACCTGGCGCTGCCTGGTGCAACCGCAGGAATGGACCAGTCTTGCCCCTCATGCTGCAGCTTGAGATGCTGCTGCGACGGCGACCAGCTCCCATCTTTCCGTCCGACCACTTGCTGCTCGCCCGCAGGTGCCGCCGCTGCGTGCTCCATGCCGTGCTTTGGCACTCCATCGCTGCTGCCGCTGCCGCCGCTGCGGGCCATGGTGGCATACCAAGCCTGGAAGTCGCGCTGCAGCCGCACACGGGCCTGCTCCAGCATTGCCTGCACGCCGTCCACCTCTGCTTTGACACCCCTCAGCGAGCCGTACGCCTCGCGGTGCGCCGCCTTCTCCTGCACAACAATCAAGCAGAGGAATTGAGGGCGGCGGCTTATCAGCCAAAGAGCCAAGATGGCACTGGGTGAAACAGTGCAGACAGATAGTAACAACGAAACAGTGCAGACAGACAGACCGCAGAGGCGCAAGCAGCAGCTCCCGCCAGGGGCCGTGCCTTCTCAATCAGCCCCTTGGCGCTCTCCTCTTCAGCATCCTGCAGCTCCCCCTCCTCCACTTGCTCTCCGCCACCATTGCCGCCGCCTGCCTGCTGCCGCAGCAGCGCCGCCATGGAGCGCGCCAGCCGTCGCCGCTCCACCGCCGCCTTGAGCTCCCCGATGCGCTGCTTGCTGGCGGCCACGCGGGCGCCCAGCGCCCGCGCCTCCTCGTACTTGCCCCGCAGCACAGCCTTGTGCTCCGCCACCGCGTCGTGTGCTGGGCTGGTGGTGCAGAAGTACTCAAACTGTGGCAGCCAGGCGGTTTGTGGGGGGCAAAGCAGATTAGCCAAGCACTGAATCGTGCATGCTGCTGGTTTGGCAGCCTGCTCACCGCTTTGTGCTGGTCTTCCAGCAGCTCTTCTGAGAACGCGAGTGCGGAGGTGGCACCATGCCCAGTGGCAGAAGTGGTGGCATGGTGTGGACTTGAGCTGCTGCTGGAGGGATGGTTGTCTGCCTGCTGCAGCATGTCGGGTGACAGGCCCTGCTTGCGCAGCACCCCTGCCAGAACGCCAATCTGCTGCTCCTGATCCTGCACCAACTGTCGCAGGCTGCGCACTTCGGCAGCTGCCGCCTCAGGCCCACTGTTGCTGCTGCTGCTGCCACTTAACGCCGCAGGCTGATGCCCCCAGGCAGGCCCGCCCCGAACCATGCCCTTCAGCAGGCCAAAGGCAGCATGGATGAAGAGCATGCTGGCTTGCACATCCAGGCTGGCATCGGGGGCGGTATCCTCGACATATGCCTGCACCTGCCGCCTCAGCACTTGATGCTCCGCCTCGCTCAGCGCCTGCTGCTGCTCAGGGCCGCTGCCTGCTGCTGCAGACGCTTCGCCCGCGCCACCAGTGCTGTCGCTGCCAGGCACAACGGTGCCCCCCGAGCGCAGCAGCTGCAGCTCCTGGCGTAGCAGGGCATTCTCCTGCTTCAACCGCCGCACCAACAGCTCCAGATCGAGCTCCTCGTTCACCTCCACCCTGCGACGAGCCCGGGGTGTGTGTCATTCAGCATGGCATGGAAGAAAAGCGACCTTCTAGCTCTGGGACAGTCAGCTGGGACCAGTTGTGAAGTAACATCCTCAGCTCGCCCAGCTGCCACGCCCACCTGTTTGTGATCATGGCCACGCGCTGCGCGAAGCGGCATGTGCTGATGCTCTCCTCGATGTGCGCCGCTTCCGGCGCTACGGCCGCCACCATCACCGTGCGCGTGTTGCCGCCCAGCGAGTCTCGCAGCACCTGCGTCAGCATGCTGTTGCGGTACGGAACGTGGGCCCGCCCCTCCTGGAGCGAGATGATGACCTGCGGGCAGGCCAGTGGGGCAGCCAAGTCCAGCAGGCACAGCTGGCGGCAGTCGGTGGGAATCCAGGCAGCATGGGACTCTGTACGAATGGCAGACAAGTTGTCTGTGGTCAGGGTCAGCACCAGGGCGCCCCAATTCCGTCTCTCCCCGGCCCCCATCCGCCCTCTTCCGCCTCCCACCTGCTCCAGGAAGTGCAGCGACAGGTTGATGTACTTGGCCTCCTTGAGCTGGGCGTGGGCGGAGAGCCCCGTTTTCACCACCCGCTCGCTGCCTGCCAGGTCCACAAAGTGGAGCTTGCTGCGCCGCACCACCGACTCGCCCACCCGCCGCGCCTCGATGTGCAGCGTGAAGATGCAGTGGGAGCGGGAGGAGGCCTGGTTGAGGGGCGTCTCCGCCACCACGCGGTTGGTGTCACCCAGGAAGAGCTGCAGGCAGGCAGGCGCAGCAAGCAATGGGCGTGTGCACCACATGCGCCTGCTTGTGGGAAGGCTGAAGCAGCGGGCACCGTTGGCTCATGTGCAGGCCCGGCTTGCCATGTTCAGCGCCTGCTCCTCGGTGTCGCAGCGGTGCAGGCTCAGGTTGCGGATGTGCAGGTGTGACTCGTCGTCCTCTAAGATGTGCACCTGCATCGCCCGGGCAAAGCTTCTTTTGTCCAGCATCAACCAACAGGTAGGCAGACAGGGAGGCGGGCAGGCTCCCACCACGTGGCACCAAAGGATGCCTTGAACTGACACGGCTGCTGCCATTCGGCCACCAATGTCACCCCTGAAGTCTCCACCTTTGGCAGGTCCTCCAGCGCTTTGACCTCACGGTTGGGCTCCAGCAGGTCAAACCCCGTCTCGCAGTAGACCTCCATGTAGCTGATGTGCAGCACGTAGGTGTGGTCGGTGCGGCGGGCGGCCTCGGCAAAGAGGGCAGAGATGGCTCGCGGGATGAGGCCGCGGTCGGCGTACCGCTCAGTGCCACCACAGATGGTGAAGGTCTTTCCGGAGCCTGTCTGGCCAAAGGCAAAGACAGTGCCGTTGTAGCCGTCCAGCGCAGAGAGCAGCACCGGCGCGGCCACCCGCTCAAACACCTCATCCTGGCGCGCCTCGGCCGGCAACAGGCCGTCAAACGGAAAGCGGTAGCTCTCGCGCGAGTTGTTGATCAGCCTGGGTGGATGGGGAATAGAAGACACACGATGATGCACGTCCCTTGGCATGTGAAGCACCCTGCCCTCGAGCAAAGGCAGAATGTGGGTGCCCGCCCGCCGCCCGCCCGGCCAGGTGCCGCTGGCTCACCCCTGGCTGGCGTCTCGGGGCACGTTGAATTCCACCCAGCCCTCCTCGGGGCTGGCCACCACCCTGCCACTGGGTCGGGGCACGGGCCTCAAGCGCAGGAAGACTCCAATGCGCTGCTGCTCCGGCTCCTGGCAAGGGGTTGCCCCCGCCTCCGGTGGCTCCGGCATGACTGTGAGGGCGAATCACAATACATTAACGCAAAGAGAAGAGAACTCCCAATTGGTGCCAATTCCAAGCGACAGCGTGGCAGTGGATTTTCTTCCTCTACAGGCCCCCTTACGCCCCTGATTTGCTCAATTCGCTGCTTCAAACCTACCCCCGATACGCCCAGCCACCAGTCAACGCGCATCGACAGCACCAGCAGGTCAACTCAACATCATGGCAAAGGCCACCTCGTGCAAGGAGGCGCTGGCACGGTGGCTGGCGGGCCCTGGGGGTGGTGTGGCGGCGGGAGAGGCGGAGAGGGTGGAGCTGACGGGCCTGTGCCCGCCCATTGACAAGATGGACTCGAGCCTGGCGGCGCTGCACGCCTGCCGCCACCTCGCGCTCTCCACCAACAACCTGGACAAGATTGGCAATCTGACTGGCCTGGAACGCCTGGAGGTGCTGTCGCTGGGCCGCAACTGCTTGAAGAAGCTGGAGAACCTGGAGGCGGTGGCGGGCACGCTGCAGCAACTCTGGCTCAGCTACAACCAGATTGACCGCCTGGTGAGTCGGCTTAGAGGTTCTGGAGGGGTGCATGCACTTTGCCAGCATAAGGCGCAGGGCTGTGCATCGGTAGTCGTGGGAGTCCCACGCATGATGTATGACGCTGCCGCCACATCAGTACCACCGCATGTCTCTTTATGCGCCCCATCGCTGTCCATACCACAGGCGGGTATCGAGAAGTGCAGCCAGCTGCGCGTGCTATACGCCAGCAACAACCGCATCAAGGACTGGGCAGAGATAGACCGTCTGTCAGCACTGCCGGAGCTGGAGGACCTGCTGCTGGTGGGCAACCCGCTGTACAACGAGTGGAAGGAGAACGGCGCGCTGCCGCAGTACAGGATTGAGGTGGGGCAGGCACACGCATGGCACCGAGCACGCAGGGCGCTGCATGTGCCGTGCAGGAGCAGCTGAGCTGCTGCTGCCAACATGCGCAGTCTCGCCGCCGCAAGCTGCTCAAAACTGGCTCGCTGCCTGGACTGCAGGTGCTGAAGCGGGTGCCCACGCTGAAGAAGCTGGATGGGCAGCCGGTGGATGTTGAGGAGCGGGAGGCGGGCAAGAAGTAGGGCAGGCAGGGGCGCTTCACAAGCACTTTGTCAGGCCCGACCAGTGGCAATTTCAGCGATTCTTCATGTTCCTTCCTCATTTCCTTTGCTCAGCTCGTCCGCTCCTCACCCTCCCCTTGCCTGCTGCTCCTCCGCTTGCTTGTCTCGTGTTGGTGCTTTGTTACCATGCAAACAAGGCTGACCATCCAAGGGCACACGGGATGGCGTGGGAACATTGACTGCAGCGGAACAGTGTGTGCTGCGGTGCCGCAAAAAGGCAACGGGCTGATGAGAAGCAAACAACAGCGAATGGTCATGTGGTCAGGAGATGTTAGCAAACAACGAAAAGGGAAACAGGCAAGAGCGAGCCCCAAGCTGCGCATTTTCTACACACCATGTGCAGCGCCTTGCTGGCGTGTCCAGCAGCCGCCCGCCTATTTACTGGGGTGGCGGCGGCCGGAAGCCGGGAGGCGGGCCACCAGGAGGCGGCATGCCGGGCCTGCAAGCAGGACAAACAAAACAAACATTCGATTCAACTTCCAAGGAATCTCAAAGGAGTGCAACAGCAGCAGGTTGCAAGACGATAGCCCCCGGAAGCTGGCCCTACGCTGCCTGGTCGCACCTGAAGCCCGGAGGCGGCATGCCGGGAGGCGGCATTCCAGGCCTGCAATCAAACATAACGCACGAGCTGTTTCATGAGGGCAACACAACCATGACAACATGCCCTGCATCAAGCGCGGCAGACATCAGAGCCTTGCGGCAGCAGCTGTGCATTTCGATTGTGTCAAGACCAGATCCTGACCTGAAGCCCGGCGGCGGCATCCCTGGCGGCGGCATTCCTGGCCTGCAGGGCGACAAACGGCAACAAACGTGAGCCAGCCTGCAAAGAAGAGGCTGGCCACCTCAAATACAAGGTGCGGGCCAGGCAGAGCAGCTGATGTTCCCTCCCAGGCAGCTGCGAACCCCACGACTCGTGTGCAGCACGCTGCCCCGCCGTTCCCGCTGCCACCGCTACCGACCTGAAGCCGGGCGGTGGCATGCCGGGCGGCATGCCCATGGGCGGGCCGCCCATAGGTGGCCGCATCATGGGCGGCGCCTGCATGGTGGGGCGGGGCATCATGACGCCCGGGGCGGGCGCGCCCACGCCTGGGGCGGGGCCAGCCAGGCCAACAGGCGCCGCCCCAGGGGCTCCCACGGGCATGCCCCGCCCTGCAGCGCGGCCCATTCCGGGCCCCGCCGGCGCCGCTGCGCCCTTGGCCAGGCGGCTCTCGTCCGCCGGCGGCGGTCCCTCTATCGTCAGATCCACCACCTCGTCGCCGCGCAGGATGACGAGGCCCAGCACTCGGCGCTGCTCACGCTGCACGCAGCGTGGCAGCGGCAGAAGGGCCCGGTCCCGCTCAGACAACAGGCAGCAGCACACAGCCCACCGAGGCGACTGGCGCACTCCCCACTGCAGCACCCACAGCAGCAGCGCCAGCTCCTGGCACCAGCTGCAGGCAACAAGGCCGCCAGCAGCCAGCAACCAGCACAAGGCGAGCGGCAGCGCCTCACGTCCTCCTCCGCCACGCCCTTCTTGGGCGGCAGTTTCCTGAACTCCTCCGCGTCTCCTAGCACCAAATTCATGTGCCTATCGAATGCCATAAACCTGCAGCGCGGTGGGCAGGGCCCCAGGTGAGCTGCCTGGCCTGGCTGCATGATGGGCCATGCAGGGCGCCGGGGGAGCCTCCCAGACTCACCGTCCCACTATCTGGCGTCCATCCACGACGGTCACGCGCATACCTGCAGCCATCAGCGCGCGGCAGGGCGTGAGCGGGCGGTGGCAGGGTGATCGTGCGCCCCGCGGTGTTTGGGGCTGCCCAGGCAGGCGCAACAGCAACCTCCACTCACGATAATTGATGAGGGCTAGGAGCTTGCCCGATTTGGACGCCATCGTGCCTCCCCCTGACGCCTGCTGGTTGAGAATGGGGTGGGAGGGGCGGCGGCACCCCGGCGAAGGAATTAAGGCTGCGGGGGCGATGTGCACGCACGAGGCCGGGGCTGGCCTGCTCCGTGCTGCGCCCACTGTTGGGCGGGGCAATGCGGCGTGCGCTGCGGCCCCGAGGTGCTCAAACACGCTGGAATGGCGATATGCAAGCGAAATGGGGCGGCGGGGCGGCGCGGCAGGGGCAGGGTGAAGAGCAGTGACGGGCGGGAGTAGGGCGGGAGCGGCGTGCTTGCACAAGACCAGGGCGGGCAGCAGCGCCTAGCGCTCAACAGGCACATGGGGTTGACTTGCAAACTTGCAATATTGCACTGCAAGCTTCCACAGATGGACAGTTGTGCTGAGAATAGCAACATGATGGAGGGTTGCGAATGCGCAAGGCATTTGGTCACCGCCGTGTGGCGTCCGGCGGCCGTGCTGGGCGAGATATGACCAGGGGTGCGCGAGGAGCAACGCATGCATTGACTTGCTCAGATATGTAAGAAGAACGGCTCTGTGGCTGCTGAACTCAATCAGATGGCACGCTGCTTGCAGCCGCCGCTGGCCGCCACGCTGCGCTGTGCAGAAGAAGGGGGCCCCATGTGTCGGCGATGCCCCGCTCCCGCAACCGTTCGTTACCGTCTCTCTCTTCGATCACGCTACACTCGGCTATCGCCAGAGAACACACACCGCTCGCTCCGACACAGAACAGCCGCAACCTTTGAACTCCCTTATGCAACACACCGTGCGAGCCTCCCCCGCGGGCGGAAGGTCCATGTGGGCCGCAGCCTGGCCCCCGGTGTCGTCAGTGCAAGAGGCGGGCAGCCCGGCGGCGGTGTGGGTGGCCGTTGTCGCCTGCATCTCCGCCCTCGCCGCCGCGCTGCACGCCCAGCTGCTGGAGCTGGGCTGGACCGTCGTGGAGCTCCTTAGCGCCGCTTACCTTTCAATGCGCTACTTCACCGGCCCCTCCTGCTGGCTGCTGTTCGGCTTTGTCTTCTGGACCGAGCCTATGCTGCGCCTGCCCCTCCTCCTGTACCACCTGTGGATCATCAGCCCCGCAGGGCGCGCCGCGGTGGCCCACAGCCGCTGGCCCTGGCTGCTGCGCCGCCTCCCGCTGTGGCGCGGCTTTCTCACCTACTTCCCCGGGTCCCGCATCGTCAAGACAGCAGACCTGGACCCGCAGCGGCGCTACATCTTTGCGGGCCACCCGCATGGCCTGCTGGGAAACTGCTACTTCCTGGCCTTCTGCACCGACGTGCTGGACTTCAGGCAGCTCTACCCGGGCATCAGGCTGAGCATCGGTGGGTGGCAGCGGGGGCCGGCCTGGGTGGGGTGGCCGGGCTGCAGGGAGGTTGGTGGCAACTGCTTGTCCTGCTTCTTCGCCGGGACTCACCTTTCCCCGCCCTGGCCATGCACTCCCCCATTCCTGGCAGGCGTGCTGGACCTCAACCTCTGCGTCTCCTTCTGCCGCGAGATCTGCCTGCTCTTTGGCCTGTGCGACGTGGACCGCCACACCCTGCTGGCCCGGCTGAGGCAGGGCCCCGGCTCGGCCGTGTTCCTGGCTGTGGGCGGCGCCGCAGAGTCGCTGCTGACTCAGGTGGGCGCCTGGTCAGGGGGGGTGGGCAGCCCGCCCTGCACGCCGCATCCTGCCCGCTGCTTGGCTCGCCATCGCTGTCTGAGGCCATGCCCCTGGCTGTGCCACCCTGCCCTGCCGCAGCCCGGCACCATGGACCTTGTGCTGAAGCGGCGCAAGGGGTTTGTGCGGGTGGCGCTGGAGGCGGGGGCCGACCTGGTGCCGGTGCTGGCCTTTGGCGAGAACGAGGTGTACCAGCGCTCTCAGCTGGTGCCTGGCTCCCTGGCAGACAGGATGCAGACGGCCACCAAACAGGTCAGCTTGGGCGTATGGAGCAGCTAGGCAGCAGGCATTGACAACGAGTGGCCATGTCGCATGCCTGTTGTCAGAAGGTTGCTGGCCTGCTGCCCACCCCCACGGCTGCAGATCTGTGGCTTCACAGTACCGCGCGGCTACGGGCGCGGCATCCTGAACTTGAAGAGCGGCCCGCTGCCCGAGCGCCGCCCGCTGGTCACCGTGATCGGCGAGCCCCTGCGTCTGCCCGTCTTCAAGGGTGCGCGCCCATCTGGATTGCCGCCCAGCTGCACCCGTGCATGGACAGCTTCCGCTTGCTGTCCCTGCAAGCCAGGCCCCACCCTGACATGACGTGCTGTCGCGCTGTGCAGGCGACCTGCGCAGCGAGGATGGGCGGGCAGTGGTGGAGGAGTGCCACGCACGCTACTGCGCGGCGCTGCAAGCACTCTATGACAAGTACAAGGACGAGTTCGCCCCAAGCAGGGTGCGGGACATGAGGTTTGTGGAGTAAATGTGAGGCGCTGCAGTGTATCTACTACCAGCTCTGCCCAGAGGCTGTACCCGTTTCATCATCGACCCCACTGTGCCTTTCATCATCATGCAAATGAACACGCCCCCGTGCACAATGAACAAACAAATGTCAGCCATCACAATCAGCTTGTGTGACAAACCATCCTCTTTTTGCTCAAATTGACTTCTGACTGTACCATGACGCTTCACTGTACAATGAGATACTGTAACCAAATGAAGCGGCATGGATGGCTCAACTTCAGAAAAGCCGCATGTCGCGAACCCTTCTAGGTGCTAGCTCGTCCTTGTATTTGTCATAGAGTGCTTGCAGCGCCGCGCAGTACCGCGCATGGCAGGCATCCACCACTGCCCGCCCCTCCTCGCTGTGCAGGTCGCCTGCACAGCGACAGGCCCAGACCATGCTTGTTAGGAAAGCAGATTTGGTGGGGTGAACGCCCCCGGTGTGGTGTGGAAAAAGCAGGGCTGCTCGTCAGACGTCTCACAAGCCTCACCGTGGAAGGCTGGGAGGCGCAAGGGCGCCCCCACCACAGTCACCAGCGGCACAGGCTCTGGAAACGGCCCATACCGCAGGCCCAGCAGCCCGCGACCATAGCACAGCGGCAGCGTGAACCCAAACAACTGCACAGCGCTGGCAGCCAGTTGTGTGCAGGCAGCGCTGTGGGTACTGCTTCACAGATTCTGCTCTTGCAATAGCCAGCAGCAAGGCACTGCATTCTCTCGAGGTGATCGCCACACTGTAGCTGCACGAGGGCCCAAGCAGGTGCTCACCTTGGTGGCCGTCTGCATCCAGTCCAGCCAGCTGCCAGGGGTCACACGCACTCGGTGGACCGCCTCGTTCTCGCCAAAGGCCAGCACCGGCACCAGGTCGGCCCCCGCCTCCAGCGCCACCCGCACAAACCCCTTGCGCCGCTTCAGCACAAGGTCCATGGTGCCGGGCTGCGGCAGGACAGGGTGGGGCGTGGCATGCTGGGCAGCGGAATGTCCAGCAGAACTGATGTTGCATGCGGCGGCACAGCGCACTCGCCTCTGCCAGCACCGCCTCTGCCGCACCGCCAACCACTATGCACACGGCCGAGCCTGGCCCGCCCGCCAGGCGCGCCAGCAGGATGTCTCTCGACACGCCGCACCAGCCGTGCAGCAGGCTGATCTCGCGGGCGCCTGGCGTCATGAAGATGAAATCCAGAATGGCCTGGCTCAGGCGGATGCCGGGGAAGGCGGTGGAGAAGCCCATGCCGTCGGTGCCCAGCGCCACCACGGATGCGTTGCCCATGACGCCGTACGGGTGCAGGCCCAGAACGTAGCGCCGCGCCGGGTCCAGCTCAGCGGTGTTCACCAGTCGGGAGCCCTTGGCGCAGGCGGGGAAGTGCTTGTAGAGTCCCCAATCGCGCAGCACATGCCAGCGCCACCTGCGGCGCAGCACAGGGAAACGTGTGCAGTCCAATGCTCAGTATGCTCAGTATGCAAGGGCCAACTGACGGCCAGCAGCGCCACCTGCTGCGCGGCAGAACCAAACCTGCCAACTGCGGCTCGCCCAGCGGCGGTGTGGATGTAGATAATGTAGGCCAGCAGCGGGAGGCGTAGGACGGGCTGGGAGAAGAAGAGCCACAGGCACACCACCCAGGAGCCCAGCACAGCAAGGTAACGGGCAGGAAGCCAGAGAGCAACGAGCAGGGCAAGGAGATCCATGTTGTCGATTTGATTAATGCCACGAAAAGTGAGGTTTGTCCAAGCTTTTGCGCGCCACGTCAGCGAGGGCGCCGAATCGAGGACTGATGCCTGCCAGAGCAGCCATCGCTTGACAGCTTGTCACGCGACTCTTACAGAGAGTGTATCAGGTCAGCTGAATCAACGCATTCCCCTCATCTACAGCTTGCTCTGGCTGCGCAGGAGCTCATCCCGCAGATTCCGCCGCATGACCTTGTTGCTGGCGTTGCGGGGCAGGGAGCGGCGCAGCAGCACCTTATGCACCCGGAACAGCGGGTTGAGCTTGCCGCTAATTTCCTGCTGGCACCGCTTCTTCAGCTCCGCCGATGCCGCACTTGCTCCAGTGCGCAGCACCAGGAACAGGAACAGCTGCTCCGGGCCGCCGCCGGGGCTGGGACAGGCCACCGCCGCTGCCTCCACCACCCCCTCCACGTTCTCCACGCACGCCCGCTCCAGCTCGACTGCGGGGCGGCAGCGGCAACGAAACAACCGCATTCGAAGCAAAAGGAGAGGTGCTCATGCAGGCATGCAGTTAAGTTGGCTTGAACCGGCCAAAGCTTGCTGCAGTACAGAAAGAAAGACCCACCCGAGCCGACTTTGATGCCACCTAGGTTCATGGTGTCGTCCACACGCCCCAGCGCACGGTACGCGCCGCCAGGCAGCCGCTCCACCTCATCGCCGTGCCGCCGCAGGAACCACCTGCAGCAGGGGCTCCAGAGAGGATGCGGGCAGGTGGCGAGCGTGCTACTCATCAACAGGGTGGCCAGGCGTTGTCTGAGTGGGAGCACATGCACTGTACCAGCCAGTCGTGCTCACAGCCCGCCCACCTGCCCCCAGGGATCTGCGGCATGCCTTCGTAGTAAGCCTGCCGGTGGTCCTTGTTCAGCAGCTGTTGGCTGGCTCCCAGGCAGGGCACAGCCAGGGCAAGCTCGCCAGTCAATGCTGCACAGAACGGCACAGGCCAGCAGAACTCAGCAGAACTCAGCCTGGCGTTGGGCAAGCGGCACTATGCGTCGTCGGCGACCCTCTCCATGGTGCTCACGTTGTGTGTCGCCATGGGGGCTGAGGGTCAGACTGCCTTCGGGCTGCGCAGGGGAGCAGAGAATGACGGGGCGGTGGCCAACGGTCGGCGTGGAGAAGGTGGAGGGGCTCTGCGGCTGCAGCGGGCTGCCCGAAAAGTAGGCGCCGCCCAGCTCAGTGCCTGCACAGGGCAGCGTGGTGCGATGCAGGGTTGGTTGATGAGCAGGAGCAAGAATGGTGCAGTGTGTGAGGGCAACCAACAAACGCTGAGGCACCGCTCTTGGCTGCATGCCAAGCGAAAAACAACGCTCTTTCGGCGGGCTCTCCAACGTACCGCCACAGTACTCAATCACCGGCTTGTACCCGGCCCGTGCCATGAGCCACAGGCAGTCCTCTGGTGCCGATGCCTCGCCCGTAGAGCTGCAGCACAGGCAGCCGAGAGGGCACCGACAGGCTCATGCTTGCAGGTGGCGATCAGCAACGAACAGTCACATGCTGATGTGGCACCTTGTGAACCAGCTGTTGGTGCAAGGATACACACCAACACACCAACCTGTAGCAGCGCAGGCAGCTCCAGTTCAGGCCTTTCATGCAGCCAGTGGCTCGCCATGCCTGCACAGCAGCAGCTCATTCCTTCAACCCTCCACTGTCACAGCAGATGGGCAGCCTGCCTGCCACCAGCCGCCGCCCACCTTGACAATACTGGGCACCAGACCCAACGTCGTGACGCGAGCTCGCTCCACGAACACGCCAAAGGGTCGGCCCAGGGGGCTGCCCTGGAAGAGGGCGATGGTGGCGCTATTCAGCAGCGCTGCAAGGAGGTTGGGGATTGGAATGGCAGTACGGCCCGTGAGGTGTACTCTACAGATGGTCGACTGGGCAGGGTACGAGCAGCTTCGCGTTCATACTCAGCTTGGAAAGCTGCGCTGCGTGGCTGCTTGCTTGCCTGCATACACCAGCCATGGCCCCATCATCCAGCCCATGTTGGTGGGCCAGCACAGCATGTCGCCCGGCCGCACATCCTGGTGGAAGAAAGCGTCGGCGCCACAGCGCAGCGGCGTGATGTGCGACCAGGGGATGGCCTTGGGATCGCCTGCGCCACAAGCCATGCGTCTACAGTGTGGCACCGCAGTGGTGGGCGGTGCACCCACTGCTGCTGGGATTACCATCCAAAGCTGTTGGGTGCCAGCGCAGCCCACCGGCTGGCCGGCAACATGCGCCTGCACATGACAGGCACAAACACCAACCTGTGGTTCCAGATGAGAAGAGGATGTTGGTGATCTCCGCGGCGTCCACCACATGTGCAGTGATGGAGGTTGGCTCCGGCACCGCCCCCAGGAAGCGCTCCCAGGACAGATCTTGCCGGCGCAGGTCTACCTGCGGGTGGGCGCGGAAACAGGGATGGCGAGACAGGGTGGGGCGCGGGTGCTTTCTGACGCAGGCCAGGGCTATGCACATGCGCGGCCACACAGCAGCGCGCCTCCAGCCTGCCAGGCGATGAGGGCGACGGCGTGCAGCACTGCTGCGGAGCCTACCTGAAGCTGCCCGCCCGCCTGCGCCGGCAGCACGATGGCCTGCGGCACCCCCGCCTCCGCTACCCGCGCATACAGCGGCAGCGCCTTGCCGCCACGCAGGATGACGTCCTGCGGGCAGGCAGGAGGCCAGGCGCAGCAGCAGGCAGGTGGGATACACACGATGGGTTGCGGACCACGGACGTGGATACTGGCACACATGTCCGAGTGCGCAGCGATGGCAGGTGCTTGGCCGTGAATAGCAGTGCTGGCAGCCGTCACCCCGCCCCCCGCGCCTGCGTGAAGATGGCTCGTGTGTGTGCGATGCGGGTGCGGCTGGCAATCTCCACCGCCACAAACGAGTCGGCGATGGACACCACAGCACAGCCAGCCAGCACGATGCCCAGATAGATGCACACAGCCTCTGCCGTCAGTGGCATGTCAATGGCCACAGCATCGCCTGCGGGGACGCGCACCAGACGGATACAGGTGGTGAGGGGTGCCTGGGCTCTGGCATGAGCCGGATGCGGGGCAGCGGGGCAAGGTCTGTGTCTGCAACAGCTCACCTGGCTTCAGGCCCAGGGCACGCAGGGCATCCGCGACGTGCGCGCTGCGGGTCGCCAGCTGGCCCAGGCTCATGCTATGCAGCACGTGGGGCGCTGCCTCGTCAGCCCACACGATGGCGGGGCGGTCAGGGTCCCGCCCTGCGGGCCAGCAGCGGCTTGCATGCACCAGGCCTGGGTCAGGCTGCAGACCTTTAACCGCTGGCGCCATCCAGCAGCACCGCACCGAACTGCTGTCCCTAGGGGTCCGGGGCTCCAAGACCATTGACAGCCATCAGCAGGCACCTTGAACACGACCACCCAGCCAAGCACACCTGTCAGTGCACACTCTGCTATGTTCAAGCGTGCGCTGGGCAGCCAGCGACAGGCATCCGGGTCAGGATGCAGCTCCAACACCCTGCAATCCCCTTTTCCTCAGTCAGTGCAGGCGACAAACAACCAGCGATGTCCAGGCAGAGCGAGAACAACATGCGGGCTGCACCTGTGGGGTGGCTTATGGAAGCGAATACACAGCAGCGCCAGCAGGTGCGGCCAGAAGTCCTCAGGGTTGCTGAAGGAAATGCGCTGCAGCAAGTCCCAATCGGCACCTGGGTCGCCAGTCCTGCGAGTACAGAGCAAGGTTCAGAACGTTTGTGCTCGCACGCAACCCGCCCACGCCTGCTCTTGCGCAACTGCTCAGGTGCCAGCATAGATAGCACCAAGCTGGCGCAGATTCGGCGGCAGCATCTTGCCTCAGCTGGCGCCAGGCGGCGTCACCCGACCAGCTGCCCATGAAGCGTGCAGCGTTGGTTGCAGCCATGCCGCCTGGCGTGGGCACCCATGCTGGTGGGGGCCCCAACACGGCTGCAGAGGCAGGCCGTTCTTGAGGCGAGCATCAGACTGGGGTCAATCCAGTGAGCAGGCGTAGCACATGTGCAAGCAATGCAACAGGTCCTGACCTGCATCCCAGCCTTCATACGTGGCCTGAAACAGCAGCTTGTGGAGCGCAAACGGCTGGTCTGGGTGCAGCACAAACTTGGAGATGCGTCGCCAAACCTGGAGGGAGACAGGGAGTTTGCCCTAGGGCTCATATCCGGCGAGATAATCTTGCAGAAGCATGAGCAGTCGACTACAGGCATGTTCAGCAGGTTCCGCCTCTTGCCCCGGCGGGGCGGGTTCGGCCGCCCTGCAAGCGCGTGCCTGCGGCGCGGCGTCCACCGTGTCGGGCGCGCCCTCGAGCGCCCGCTGCAGCGAAGCTAGGACAAGGGTTGCCTCCTGGGCGCTGAGACCGCACTCCTGCAGCCTGTCTGGCGAGAGGTGTTTTGCCGCCATCTGACGCGGGTGGTGTGAGCAACAACTGGTGTTATGGATGAGACCAATGGCCGACAGTAACCGGCAGGGTTTATGCAGCCGTCAAGCATGGCACTTTCCTCAAAGCGCCGGCGCCGCTCACTCCGCCGACCGACAGTTGGGGCCAAGTAGGTGCCAAGCATCCCGCACACAGTCACCAGCCAGGTTGCATGTCTCGGTTTGCAAGTCATTTCATACATTACTGGAACAAGTTGAGAGGAGAAGGGAGAGCTGAGCGAAACGGACCTGATGATCGGTCAAGCGTCAACAGTCAAAGCTTGACGTCAAGGCGAGGAAGCAGTTTGAGCGAGCGGCAAAGCGTTTGGTTTCACAATACATGTAATAAAAAAGTTTGTAAAAAATGTGGGCATAGACACTATGCCCTAAAAGTGTGGTGTGTTTCAGCCACCCTTCGCTTGTGCGCGCGCGATCTTGGCAGCATAAGCCAGCTCGTCCCCCTCCGCCTCAGGCAGTTGCACAGGGCTGCCCTTCACCAGTACACACAGCTCCGGTTGACAATCCACAGAGATCACATTCCTGCAGCATGCACGTGGCAGGCGCAGCCGTACTAGCAGACGGTAGGCAATGAAAGAATGCAGCTCTAGCTTGCTCATTTCCCGGCAGCCCAGTCTCCTGGCAGCCTTGCAACGACAGTCAGCTGCTCCAGACTCCTCGGCTAGCCAGTACAACTCACTCAAACATGGACAGCTGGACCTCATTCCGACACCACGACCTGCCGGACACATCAAACTTGTAGAAGCTCTCTATACGGCAGTTGATCAGGTGAATCAGGCGTTGGTAGAGTGGGATGGGCAGCTCGGGAGGCTCATAGCCATCCAGCGGTCTTTGCAAGAAGTAGTGATCGTGCAAATCCTGGAAAACAGAACAATCGAACAGATGCACCAAATGTTGGTGCCTCAGGGTTGACATGCAGCAGCATCCGGTTGGCAAGCATTTGCTGCAGCCACACCAGCATGAGCATGCACAAAGGCTGGTCGATAATCAGCTGCAAAATGCAGGCCCACCTCTATGACGTAGATGCCCCCAGGCTTGATTGCAGGCCAAAGCGCTCGGAGTGTTGACATTTGCTCCTGGGGGATGTGGCTGCCGTCGTCCACAATCATGTCAAAGCCGCCTGCACCAGTGGAGTGGGACAGCGGTTTGGCACAGGGCTGCAACCCAGCTGGATTACGCCAGGGCTGTCTCGCTGCGCAAACAAGACATGGCAGCCCCTCACCTTCAGCCTTGGCATCCGCCACAATTTCACCCAGCAATGCAGGGTCGTCCTGAGACCCTGCAGCCATTAGCCGCAAGTTGGTTGGGTGACGGTTTGAGCAACAGCAGCAGCAGCCACAGAAAAGTGCATGGCAAATGCAAGAAAGAGCAGCCACCCACCAATGTACAGCTTGCCGCCAGCCTCTTTCTCCACGGAGTCTTTCCATTTCACAGAGCAGTCCCTGCGTGGGGCAGCGTTTGGAATGAAGGCAACGCGGCAGAGCTCCTGTGTTTGAAGCGCAATCATGAGCATGTTGAGCACCTCGACCTTGCATCAAAAGGCAGCTGCGCACCGGTCATACTCCACAAACGATATCTTGGCACACGGCAGGAAGGCATGCCAAAGTTTGAGGCTGGCGCCAGGACCGTAGCCCATATCGCAGCCCAGCCCAATCTCCAGCATGCGCAGGTCAGTGAAACGGACGTGGGAGAGGTAGCGCGTGTAAGCGTAGTGGTAGGCTGCACAGAGAATGCATGCGGGCAGTTGGCTCAGAGGGCCACAAGCATGAAGCCAGGGCAGTCGTCAGCTTTGGGTGCTGGCAGGCAGAGGGCAGGGCAGCGGTCATGAATCCGCAGCAGCGCAGGCGCTGGCAGTTGGAGGGCACAGGAAGGGGCACCAGTGGAGGCGGTGGGCGCTGGTGTGCACAGGCAGGGTGGCAGGCCCATCTGTTTGCTCACCGTGATCGGTGACTTTGTCGGTACCCGACCACTGTGCAAAATCCAGGAAGGCGCGGGGCAGAGCCTTGGAGATGGGCGATGTAAACTGCGTGCTCCACTGGTTTGTGTGCAGCTCATGCTTCTTCCGCAACGCAAACTGTTTGAGCTTCGCTGCATACTCGATGCCCAGCCTGCAGCAGGGTACAATGGCACGACAGCAGGGCACAGATCTTGGCTTGCTGAATGGTGTTACCATGGTTAAATGGCTTGGACAGTAGAGCCAGAAAGTGGCAAGCAAACTTCGCAGCGGATGGAGTGGAATTGGAACTGGCGCCCGGCACCCGGTACAGATGCGCTGCCGCACTCACTTCATGCACTGTTGCGTCCTCTGATTCAAATCCTGTATGTTTTCTGGCAGCGACACCACAGGCTCGGAACACGGTTTCGCCCCTGCTGCTGCCGCTGCTGCTGCTACAGCCGCTTCCTCTGCTGCCGCTGCCGCCCGCGCTGCCGCTTCCTGTGCCGCTGCTGCGGCTGATGCTCCGGCGGCAGCTGTGTCGGCATGATTGCTGGACTCCTCCAAGGTGCTGCCCTCCTCCGCAGCCCGTGAATGCGTTCGCCAAAGCCCCGTGGGCTGAATGGCCCTGCTGCTGGGGGCAGGGTGGGTGGGATTGACCCACCGCTCGCGAGCCGTCCCCACAGAGAAGCCCTGCATTGACAGGGAGGTTCGTGAGCTTTGCCCCAGAGAGCAGACAGTGTTGGTTGCGTGCAAGCGCGCCAGCTGCCGCAGCCCTGCTGCAGATCGACACACACCAAGATAAAGAGTGCTGCGCCAATAAACAGCTGCACACGACAGGTTGGGCCACGGTCGCGAGCTGCAGGTGCCAACATCCCTCATACGTATCGAAACTTGTTAGCCCTGAGCACCATGGCCTCGGAGGAGAGTTGAATGCCTTGGCTGGCCACTGGTACACAGACAAGGGCCGGCCGTACTGCCCGCCCGCGGCGCGTGCCGCATTCCGACCGACGTCAGGATCAGTGCTTGGTAAAATTCAGAGTGGGTCCCACGGGTTGGGATGCTTCTTCTGAGCGGCGATGAAGGAGGAGTCAAGCGGCAGAGGCAGTACTGAGGGATTTAAACATTCGAAGAGTGCAAGGGCGCAATATGCCCTTCCTCAGCGCTCGTCACATCCCCTTGGCTGCTGCTGCCTCCGCCTTCTTCAAATTGGCCTCATACTCCAGCTCCTCCTGATCTGGCTCGGGCAGTTGCGCAGGGCCGCCCTTCACCATCACGCACAGTTCAGGTGAGCAGTCCACGGCAATCACGTCGCTGCAGATTGCAGGCAGGCACCGTAAAAGTAGTTGAGGAGCAAACCGAAGATGCAACGACAGACCCCATGGACGCCCCAGCTTGCTTGGCGTCTGTTATCAGGCACAGTGGCCCATTTTGACTGACAACCACTGGGCCTCTCCAGGCTCCACCAACACTCACTTGAACACAGAGTTTTGAGCCTCGTTCCGGCACCACTGCTTCCTGCTATGATGAAGCAAGTAGAAGACCCCAGTTCGGCAGTTCACAAAGTGAATCAGTTGCATATATAGCGAGATGGGCGCCGGGGGGTCGTCATCGTCGCCCAAGGGCCTCCCAAAGTGATTATGCAAATCCTGCAGAGGTGCGCAAGAGTCTGTGCAACTCAAGTGGGTGGAAGTGCACACAACGGGGCACCACCTGGCCAATGCTGGATCCAGGCCAGTGCGTGTATGCACACAGGTTGGTCGCAGCCGGCTGCAAGCCCACCTCTATGACGTAGATGCCCCCAGGCTCGATGGTGGGCCACAACGCTGTGAGTGTTGCCAACTGATGGCCGGGATCATGGCTGCCGTCATCCACAATCATGTCAAAGTTGCCTATACGAGTGGAGTGGGCCAGGGTTCTGGCACATGGCTGAAAACCAGCTGGATTATGCTGGGGCTGTCTCGCTGCGCAAACAAGGCACGGCAGCCCCTCAACTTCAGCCTTGGCATCCGCCACAATTTCACCAAGTAATGCAGGGTCGTCCTGAGACCCTGCAGCCATCAGCCGCAAGTTGGTTGGGTGACGGTTTGAGCAACAGCAGCAGCAGCCACAGCAAAGTCAAGACAAATGCAAGAGCAGCCACCCACCGATGTACAGCTTGCCGCCAGCCTCTTTTTTCACGGAGTCTTTCCATTTCACAGCGCATTCCCTGCATGGGGCAGCATTTGCAATGAAGGCAATGCGGCAGAGCTCCTGTGTTTGCACTGAAGCGCAAGGTGCAACCATGGGCATGTTGGCCCCCCCTCAACCTTGCCATCAAATTGCCGCAGCATCTGCAAGGCGGCTGCGCACCGGTCATACTCCACAAACGATATCTTGGCGCACGGCAGGAAGGCATGCCAGAGTTTGAGGCTGGCGCCAGGACCGTAGCCCATATCGCAGCCCAGCCCAATCTCCAGCATGCGCAGGTCAGTGAAACGGACGTGGGAGAGGTAGCGCGTGTAAGCGTAGTGGTAGGCTGCACAGAGAATGCATGCGGGCAGTTGGCTCAGAGGGCCACAAGCATGAAGCCAGGGCAGTCGTCAGCTTTGGGTGCTGGCAGGCAGAGGGCAGGGCAGCAGTCATGAATCCGCAGCAGCGCAGGCGCTGGCAGTTGGAGGGCGCAGGAAGGGGAAGCAGTGGAGGCGGTGGGCGCTGGAGTGCATAGGCAGGGTGGCAGGCCCATCTGTTCGCTCACCGTGATCGGTGACTTTGTCGGTACCCGACCACTGTGCAAAATCCAGGAAGGCGCGGGGCAGACCCTTGGAGATGGGCGATGTAAACTGCCTGTTCCACTCATTGTCATACACGCTCCGCCCCTCCTTCTTGAGCTTCTCGGCATACTTGACGCCCAACCTGCACAGGGAATGAGAGTGGAATGGGGCAGATCGTAGCTTGACAAAGTGTGTCAACCGTGGTTGGATAGCATGGGCAGCAGCCAACCACTCAGCCCTGCACAAGGTCTGTCCAGCGCACAGACACGCCACTCACTTCATGCACTCTGTGGTTCTCAGGTCCACATCATTAGGCCCTCCGCTATTCTCTGCTGCCGGCTGATCCTGCGCTACTGCTGCTGGGTTGATTGGCTGTTCTGGAGGCTCCTGTGCCTCGGTTTGCTCAGGCGCCTCCTGCTCCTGCGTGGGCTGCTCAGGCTCCTCCATCTCCTCCTCCTGGGTGGGCTGGAGGAGCCCCTCCTCCTCCTGCGCGAGCTGCTCTGCCCCATCCTCAGGCTGTTGCTCCTGAGCTGCCGCCTCTGCTGCTGCCGCTTCCGCCGTCGCCGCTGCCGCCGCAGTGCTGGCGGCGACAGCCTCGGTGGCTGGCACCGCTTGCTGGGTCCCGGGAGGCAGCTTAAGTTGTCCAGTGTGCACGATGTGCATGTTTGCGGTGCGGTCGCTCTGAAGACCCCACACCACCGCCACCATACAGCAGCCCACTAGGAAGGCGCCCAACAACTCCCAGCTCCTGCGTTTTGCATTGCCCCGTTGTTGTGCGTGAACCCGCGAGTCCTCCATGATCGGGAGCTGCGCAAACGGCAAGCACAGTCCCCCTCACAGAAAAATCATAATGCTCTGGAGTCGGGGTGAGAATTTGCGAGGTTTTGCCCTGCTCTTTGGGGCAGAGTACCATGGTGCCCGGCGGCGGATGTACTGCGGGACGGTCAACTGCTGTACATGGGTCAACAATGTCCGTGCTTTCGTTCCGCGGCCAGAATAGAGTTGCTGCATTTATCAATGGCTGCCATGTTTTATGCCGACGTAATGCGTGCATGAGCCTCGCAGGTTCCGACCGCTCTGTAACTCGAGTCGAGTCGAGGGCCTCTGGTTGCACACAGCTCCTGCGTCCAGCCCACTCAATGCAACAGGCTTACATCTACTAGCATGGCCCGCGCGTCGGGGCAGGCAGACAGACGGCTGGCGGGCAAACATGCAAGTGGCTGGAGTCAGCAGTACCAAGATGCCAAGTGGGGATCGATCGTCGGCAGAGACGCAGTGCGAAAACGAACAAAACAATCTAGAGAGTTGGGGTAGCGTCATTGGCAGGATTACACAGGAGGTCAGGAGTGTCGCCTCCGATCATCGGCACATACAGACCGGGGCGGAGAGGCGCTGGCGCTTGCTGTGCCCGGCAGACATGCGGCTGGGCGCATCAACATGCCAGCCACCGCTGCGCCAGCTGCTCAGGCCCGCCCCCTGGCGGGCGAGGCGCCAGCAGAGCTCAGAAGCCGCGGCGGCGGAAGCCGCCAAACATGTCGCCATCAGTCAGCTGCTCCCGCTGGGGCGCCGCCGACGGGTAGCGCTGGTCGGCGGTAGGGGCGGCCTGCTCCCCGCCCTCATACCCGTATGTCTTGGGCAGCAGGTGCGCGGGCTTGACCAGCTTGATGGGCTTGCTGGCCAGCACCACGCTGCCATCGGAGTTGTACTGCACAGCGGCGCCGCCCGCCGCCTCCTCCACGGCGCCGCTGCCGTAGCTGCTGCCGGTGTTGACGGGGCGCGGCGCGGCCGCCTGCTGCTGCTGCCGGGGCGGCGCCGCCGCGTACCCGTAGCCGCCATCCACAGAGTGCAGCGGTGCGTCGGGCTGCGGCGCGGCGCCGTCGCCCATCAGCGACGAGCGCAGCATGTCCCCGATGGTGGCCCGCTTCTGGGGCTTGACCACGGGCACGGAGCGGGGGGCGGGGGCGGGGGCGGGGGCGCCGCCGCCGTTGAGCTGCACGGCCGGCGGGGAGGCCATGCCCGGCTTGACCACGGGCACGTGGGGGCCGCGCCGCTCGGGGCCCTTCTCCAGTTCAGTGCCCGCCAGCAGCACCGACGCGCCGGCCGCCGCCTGTGCAGCCACCTGCGCCACCCCCACATCCTTGAAGGCCTCCCCAGCCAGCGCCACCTCCACCTCAGCAGCCGGCACCGGCGCCGCGGCCAGCTCAACGGGCCGGGCAGACGCCTGCGCCAGCACCATGCTCGGCTTGGCGGGCTTGCTGGCGGGGCGGGGGCGGGCGCTCATCTGGAAGCCCAGCCCCTGCAGGCAGGCAAGGCGGACAGGCAGGCAAGGGGGATGACCGTCCACATCGGCAGCGACGCTTCGGCGCAGAGGAGCAGATCAGCGTGTGCTGTGCCCGGGCAACGACAGGCGCCCGCCCAGCAGCCGGCAAGCGAGGGAGGAGAGGAGCGCGCCTCACCTCGGTGCGGCGTCCTGCGGGCGTGGCGGCCCTCGAGGCGCCCGAGTCCCCCTCCAGGTACTGCTTCACCTGGTCCCGCACCTGGCGCCCGCCGTAGTAGGTGCCTGCAGGTGGAGCGCCCAGCAGCCTCAGCCATGCGGGCAGCGGGGCGGCGGCGCAGGCACAGCCCGACCGCTGGCCGGCATGCTGGGCTGCGCCTTGCGAGGCACAGGGCCCGGGCGGTCTGCGCGCCACATCTGTCGGCAGGCAGCCGGCCCAGCCGCCGCTCACCATACTTGCTGCCGGTGATGGGGTCGTCGGCGGGCTTGGGCCGGCCCAGGGGCAGCTTGCGGGGTGCGGGGCGCTGCAGGGGAGCAGGCAGGGCAGAGGAGAGCGGGTGGGTGAGGCGCCGCTGCTGCTGGTGCCAGGGCCAAAGCCGCCGTGCCGGGCAGCCTGCCAGCATGGCAGCCACAAGCCGCGCACGTGAGCGCAAGGCCGCCCACCTGCGGCACCGGGGTGCGTGGGGACACCTCCCCCTTCATCACCGCGATGCGCTGCTGCAGCTCGTCCTCCGAAAGCCGCTGCGCCTTGCCGTGCGGCGCCTGTGGCGCGGGGCCGCCCGCCGCCGACAGGTAGGCAGCCTCCTGGGCTGCCGCCTGGCGAGCGGCCAGGCTGGCTGCCGCCGCGGCGGCGGCATACTCCTGCCGCTTGCCCACGACAGCCGCAGCTCCGGCGGCACACTCCTCGGGGCGCGGGGTCAGCGTGCGGCGGCGCCGTGGCGCCGGCGCCGGCGGGGGCTCCAGCGCCTGCTGCACGGCGCGGCCGGCCACCGCCGCGCCGCGGCCGACAGCCGCGGTGGCGCCAGCCAGGGTGTGCACGGCCCAGCGCAGCAGGCGGCCCAGCTCCGTCACGCCCGGCACCGGCCGGCCCTCTTTGATGCGCGAGTTGGCCAGGGAGGCGCCCGCCACCAGCGCAGCCAGCCCCAGCGCGCCGGTGGCCAGCCCAGGCTGCTGCACGCGCCAGCTGTCGGGCACCGAGGGAGGGCGCACCACCAGGGCCACCTGCTGAGCCTGGGCCTGGGCAGCCTGCTGCAGCGCCGCCTCCTGCAGCGCGCACAGGCGGCCAGCCAAACCACCGGCATGGAGCTGTGAGGCCAGGGCTGGAAGTCAGGCCAAGCCGCGGCTGCAAACCAAACATCATGGGGGGGGGGGGCGGGCTGCCATCCTGCCACACACCCGTTCCCCTCCCTCCCCGCCGCTGCTCTGCGCGTCCCCACCTGCTCCCGCAGGTAAGTCCACTTGCAGTCCCCGTCAAACACGCCGGTGACGCGCAGCCCCTGGTCGCGCTGCCAGGCCTGCAGCGCCTGCCCCGTCACGTCGCCAAAGTAGCCGCTCAGCCCGTCGTCGCTGGAGAAGTAGCCCTGCTCCGCAAGGTACGCCTGCACTTGGGAGCAGGTGGCAGGTTGGGGAGTGCCAGGCAGTGGAGCAGCTCCGACGCTTGCAGGCAGCGGGCCGAGCGCACAGCACAGGGAGGAGGAGCACCGCGAGGGCAGCAGCGAAGGCTGGGCGGCGGACATAGGAGTGCGTGGCCATCGGCGGCCGCTGCTCAGCGCCGGCGCCGCACCTGCAGCTGCATGACGTCGTCGCCAAAGCTGCCCTGCTGCAGCACGCGGTCCCCAAACTCGTGCACCTGCGCGCCCTTGAGCCGCAGGCGTGCCACCCGCGTCTTGTACTGGTAGGGGCCCAGCTGCGGGGAAGCAGGGAGCGACGTGCGGCGTGCAGAAGCGGGGCGGGTGAGCGGAGCGGCTGTGGCAGGCGGCGGGAAGGTGGGGCAGGGTAAGTGAGGGGGCAGTGGACACAGTGGCAGCGGCCTGTGCGTTGCCAGCCCTGGCCGTGGCATGGGAGCTGGCACCCATCGGCCCAGCGGGGCGGGAGCGGAAGGGCGGCAACCGCGGCGCCGCCTCACCATGCTCCGAACCAGCACCGCACTCCGCCCATGGCTCCTGGCAGTGCGCGCCCCTGGCAGCAGAGGGGCAGCAGGCGGTGAGGCCTGCTCTCAAGCGATCGAGCTGTGGGGAGCTGATGGCCCGCAGGCAGGCACCCTTGTCACCTCGCTCACCTCTGGGGCGCACCGTCAGTGCCCTCTGGGGCACTGCCAGCTGCATTCTGCAATCGCCTCGGGCGCCCTGGCTTGCGCCTTGGCCTGGCTGCCTTTTGAATTCTAAAACACCCCCCTGCTGATGGGGGGCGTGTCTGCTCGCTGGGTTTGCAGCAGTGGGCAGCCAGCAGGTGATCTGGGGGTGCGAGGGGAGTTTGGTGGCTCTGCATGGAGTGTCGACCTGGCAGCCCGCGCGTGAAAACCCCATTCCCCAGCCCGATCGCCCATCAGCAGCCCTGATCCTGCAGCCATGGCTCCCAAGGCCAAGGCCAAGTCCGCCCAGGCCAAGAAGAAGCCGGCAGAGGAGCCGCGGCTGGGGTTCCTGCCACCCCGACTGCTGGCGTCCATCTTCCTCTACACCGTCACCATGGGTGTGCTGTATAAGATGGCCGATGACAATGGCACGCTGGCCCTTCTCAAGAGCCACCTGCAGGCAGCGCCCTGGAACCCCCTGAGCCCTCCCTGCGGCCTGCTCAGCGCCAAGGAGTTTGTGATCATGAGCGACAGGGTGGTGGTTGGAGGCAGCAAGGGCGAGGCGGTGGGCCCTCAGCCAGGAGCAGGCAAGCTGAGGCCGATGCCCACCCGCCGCCATCACCCTCGCTGCCGCCGCCGCCTGGCCGACTCTCGTCTACCTTGGCCAGTGCTCCATCTGCTGCATCTCGCCATCCTGACATCCTGACTTCATGTGTTCACCCCTGCCACTCGTCTTGCTCTGCGCTGTGCAGTTCACGTGAGGGGTGGCATGATTGCCGCCGTGCACTTGGGCGGCCCCACGGCCGATCGCCACACGCTTGCCAAGCCGCTGCTCGACAGCCGGCCCTCCCTGCAAGTGCTGGACTATGGGGATGCTGTGGTGTCCCCTGGCATGATTGACGTCCATGTCCACATGAATGAGCCCGGCAGGGAGGAATGGGAAGGTGAGCGGGGCCGACGGCATGGCCGGGGTGCAGCAGGTTGCCTAGGGCTGTGCAGCGCGCGCAGCACCCCTCGCAATAGCTGCGCGATGCGTGCAGCACTCACAGCAGTGGGTGGCAGGAGAGTGGGCAACAGGAAGGCGCCATGCCATTGCTGTCTCAAGCGCCTTTCCAACCCAGCGCCTCGGCCACCCACCACCCGCCCTCGCCCTGCACGCTCACAGCACGGGCCCCATCCCCTCGGGCCGCATGCAGGCATGGCGACCGCGACCCGCGCCGCCGCTGCCGGCGGCATCACCACCCTGATCGACATGCCCCTCAACTCCGCCCCCTGCACCAACACCCCCGCGGAGCTGGCCCGCAAGGCGGCGGCCGCCGCCGAGCCCAACAAGACCCACGTCAACGTCGGCTTCTGGGCGGGCCTGGTCCCCGCCAACGCTGCCGCCCCGGGCGTGCTCAAGGCGCTGGCCAGGGGCGGCGCGCTTGGCTTCAAGGCCTTCATGGCCCCCTCCGGCATCGACGACTTCCCGCACGTGTCGCCCGCCGAGGTGGAGGCGGCGCTGCCCACCATCCGTGCGCTGGGCCTGCCGCTGCTGGTGCACGCCGAGATTGTGGATGGCGATGTGCCTCAGGAGGTGGGTGGGCAGGCCCCGGGGGTGACAGGAGCTTACCCTTTGAGGGTTCAATGCGTCGTAGGGGTGGATGTGCCGGGTCGGCCAAGCGGGTGTCGGGAGCGAGTGAGTAGGCTAGTCGCAGGTGTTGCGGAGTGCGTTGGCCTGATCCCTGCCCGTCTGCCTGCCTACCCGCCTGCAGGGTGAGCCCCGCGAACACTCCACCTGGCTGGCGTCCCGGCCGCGGCGGTTTGAGAAGAACGCGGTGCGGGCGCTGATCGGCGCGCTGCGGGCCACCGCCGCCAACGCCACCAAGCCCGGCTTCCGCCTTCACGTGGTGCACCTGTCCGGTGGGTGTCGCCTACTGCCTTGGTGACTGGCTGGTCGGGCAGAGCGGGGGGTGCATGGGGTGGCTCTGGGAGGCAGCTGACAATCCCATGGCTGTGTGTTGCTCACCACCCGTCTTTTGCCCACGCACGCCGCGGCGCTCCAACCTGGCGCAGATGCCGAGCTGGTGCCTGAGATTGTGGCTGCCAAGGCGGAGGGTCTGCCCATCAGCGTGGAGACCTGCCCCCACTACCTCAACTTTGCCACCGAGCGCGTCCCTGTTGGCGACACACGGTGGGCAGCTGATGGTGGTGGTGGTTGGGGGGGTTGGTGGGGGAGGCGGTGGTGGGGATGAGGAGGGGAGGACAACAGATGGATGTGATGTGGTGTGTGCCCGGTTTGCCCATGATTATCATGCCTACCACAGCCTCCTGACCCACCCCGCCGCTCGCCTGCCCTGCAGGCTCAAGTGCGCGCCGCCTCTGCGCGAGGAGGACAACCGCTACCGCCTGCTGGATGCGCTCAAGGACGGCAGCATCGACAGCGTGGCCACAGACCACTCCCCCTCGGGTGCGCAGCCAAGCTTTTTGGCTGCCGGGGTGGCCAGCGGCTGCTGCCGCTCGCTCAACACTGTATGCATGCGAGCGCCCTGTGCCTCGCAGCGGCTGGGGACAGGTGCGTGGGCTCCCCTGCCTGTTGACTGTGGTCGCCTGCCCGTCTTGCCTCCTCCTGCTGCAGACCCTGCACTGAAGCTGCTCCAGGAGGGCGACTTCCTCAAGGCCTGGGGCGGCATCTCTGGCCTGCAGTACGCGCTGCCCTCCACCTGGTCTCCCTGCCACATGCACGGCATGAACCTCACCTGGCTGACGCGCGCCTGGTCCACCTACCCCGCCCAGCTGGCCAACCTGGGCAGGAAGAAAGGGCGGCTGGCTGCCGGCTACGACGCAGACATTGTGGTGTGGGGGCCGGAGCAGGATGCTGACACGAGCCGCGAGGCGCTGCAGCACAAGCACAAGGAGACGCCCTACAATGGCATGCGCATGCAGGGCCGCGTGCTGGCCACCTTTGTGGGCGGCAGCCAGGTGTTTGGGGAGCAGCAGGGCGTGGCGCCCGCAGCCTGCGGCGCCGTCATCCTGCCCAAGCAGCTGCTCCCGTTCCCGTGACGAGCCGCCGTGCATGGGCCATTGCTCCCCCCCCCACTCTCCACACTGGATTTCATTGACTGCGCCCTGCATTGTTTGCTCTTGCACCCATCTTCTTTCATTACTTGTAAGGTGATCTCTGAAGAGCAAAGAGCAAGCCATGCCGCCAAGGCTTGGCAGCATTACTGTCGACTGTGAGTCAGAAACATGAAACTCAAGCACGTGACCCAAACACACACACCAGCCAGCGGACGCCTGCATCATTGCTTTGTGCTTTGTTTTGCAGACACGGCGCTGTTACATGTCGAACGTCACGCAGTTCTGGCAACAATCGATCAAAAACTGAAAGTCTAACTGGCAGGCACAGGGAGGCATGTCGTGCCGCTGCCACACGTCAGAGGTGCCTGCCTTGCTATGTACCGCGACTGCTGCTGCCTGCACCGCTTGCTGTGCCTTCTTTCTACTTGGCCATCAAGAGCTTTTGCAGCTGGAGCATGAAGTCTGCAGGAAGCGGGGGAGCAGAGCAGGGGTGGAGCGCTAGGCAGGGGAGGACGAGGACGGTGAGTAAAGCAGGCGCGGGGCATGCACACACATCCACAAACACACACAAGTGGCAGTGGGCAGGCACCCACCCAGGTATGCCATGCTGCCTGTGGTGGCCTGCCGGTCCTCCACCAGGAAGGGCATGAGGTGCGCCTCCATGGGCGTGCCCTGGCGGATCGTCCAGCACTCCTGCAGTATGGCGGCGGACGCGGCGCGCATGGCATACGCTCAGCAGGGAGGCGCAGGGAGGCCAGATGCTGCTAGGCGGCGTCCTGCCCGCAGGGCAGCAGCCAGTCGCGCAAGGAGCGGTACAGCTTGGATGCGTGGCCCCCAGCTAGCCAGCCCACCTGCCACAGCTCCCTGCGGTCCCGCAGCTGCCGCATCACAGCATTGATGCGCGCGCTCAGCTCGCTGCCCTGCCGCACCGGCTCCGGGTTCAGGCCTGCAGGGGCGAAGGGCAGAGGGTGCCAGGGGTGAGCAAGGTTGCAAGCTGCTACCAGGTGCTCTCCTGTCGCCGGAAAGCATCCAGGCACTATGCACTTGTCCGTTCCCAGGTGTCCCAAAGCCACCAGCCCACCGCGCTTGCATCCACGTGCGCACCTGCCGTGTCCTGCGGCGGCCCCTGCACCCCGAACACCTGGGCATAGAAGCTGGGCGGTACCGCCTGGCCCAGCCACAGGATCAGCATGCGACCGTTGTCGACAATGTATGCGCCGGCTGCAGGCGGGGAGCCCGGGAGGGAGAGCAGGGAGGGGTAAACGCCGGTGCAGCATGCAAAAGGGCAGCGCAAACCCCAAAGCACAGCAGCAGCAGCCATACAAGGCCAGCAGGCCACCGGCCAGGCCAGCAACCCGCCAGGCACACCAGGGTTGAAGTATTCGAGGCCGGCAGGCGCGGTGCTGGGCAGCACCACCTCGCCAGTGGACTTTTCCTTGCCCCAGTCCCCTGCACCGACAGGCGTGTGGCAGGGGGAGAGCCGGGACCACAGTCAGCCTGGCTGCGCCGCGCTCCGGCAGAAACGCACGTGCACTCTGTTCCTCTCGCCCTCCCTGCATGGCCCCCTTCCCCTCCGTTCCCACCCCACACCGTCGGCCCCGCCCACCCCCACCTGCCAGCTCATAGACCGGGTAGCAGGATGGGTAGATGAGGCGCAGCTGGTCGTACACCGAGCAGCTGACCATCTGGTGGCCCACAGCCGCGCGCTCGTCGCTGTTCACGTCGCGGCCGCCGCCCCGCAGCGCCGCGGTCTTCAGCAGGCCTGCGTGGCAGTGACCAGGGGTGGGGAGGCTGGGATGGGGTGGGGCAGTGTAGGGCAAGAGGAGGCGCATGGGGCTGACCGGGAAGGCAAAGCCAAGCTGCAGCAGTTCCTGCCATCAGCCCCTTGTAACCTCGCACACCAACGCCGGCATGGCAGCCGGCCGCCCTGCTCTGGGGGCCCCACCTAGCGTGAGCAGCGGCAGGCCCTTGAGGCGCTCCGGCAGGACCAGGGAGTTGGGAGAGAGGTTGGTGCCCATGCCGGGCCCCGCGCCGCGCATGTGCAGCATGCGATACTCGCGCAGCGTGGCCACCAGCCGCTGCTGCAGGGCTGCGGGCAGCGAAGGAGCCACGGCGGGGAGGCACGAGGGCCTGTCACTAGAGGCCCGAAGCAGGTGAGCAGCGAACGCATGCAAACCATTCCACAGCTGGAATCTATCGGCTTTCCACAACTGCAATTGCACAGCTGTTGACGATTGGCAGACACCACCACCACCACCACCACCACCACACTCACAGGTGCGCACGTCGTCCAGCTTGGCCGAGTAGGAGCGCTCCACAGACAGCTTGCCCATGAGCGCAGCGGTGGCGCCCGCGTCGCTCTGCTTGTACAGGTCGATCAGGTCTGCAGGGGGCGGGTGGGGGATGTGGTTGTGGGGTGTGGTCAGGTTGTGGGTGTGGTCAGGGGTGTGGGGAGAGCGCACAAGTGTGGGGCGGATCGTGCCCGGCTGATTTCAGAAGCAAAGGCTGAGTGTAGACGGCAGCCAAGCGCAGCGGGTAGGGTGGGAAGAAGAGCTGCATCACTGGGGGGACGGGCACAGGACGGTGCTCAGGCGGTGCCCCCACCTGACACCACCGGCAGCGCCAGCGTGTGCACGCGGATGCGCCGCTCGCCGCACGAGTTGGTGTAGAGCAGGGCTGCCTGCAGGTAGGCCACCTGCCCCGTCACCAGCGTCTCCTCGTGCGCAATCTCAACCGAGAATGACTGCAGGCAGGGGGAGGGCGGTGGTTGGGTGTGCTTGTGTATGTGTGTTATTCCTGTAGGGTGGGATGCGGTGCTGCAGTGGAGGGACATGCCGAGGCAGCTGCCTGCGCTCAAGTGTCCACAACCGCACGCGCTACGGAATGCGCCGCCCGAGAGCAGGCAGGCAAGGCGGGTAGGGCGCAGGTGAGGCCGGCACCCACCTTGTCCACGTCGCAGGCGGGCAGGGCCAGCAGGTCTGTGGAGCGGATGAAGAAGTGGCCGAAGAAGGCGGAGATGCGGAGGCCCTTAGAGCAGCGAATGCGCATGACAGCCTCCCACGCCGTCTCGCGCGCCAGGTTGCGGCTGCAGGCCAGGCGCCAGAGGGCGGCCGTGTGGAATGGCAGGGAGAGGGGCGGCAGGCATTCGTGACCCCGCCCCTGCTTCGTGCTGCCGGGGCGTCTCACCTTCACCGGTGTAATGCTCAACCCAAGCACCAAAGCTTCCCCTCCATCCACCAACCCAGCACCTTATCCCACACCCCCGCGCCCCTCCCTCACCTGAGCTCCGCCTGCAGCTTGGGCCCGTCCCGCTCCGCTGCAAACCCAGGGTAGTAGTAGAGCTGGCCTCCCGTGTACTTGGGCAGGGCGCCCAGGGAGGGCAGGTCCATGTAGGCGGAGCCAAAGGCAAACACGTCCACGCAGATCTGGAATCTGCGGGCAGGGAGAGGGAGGGAGGGAGGGACAGGTAAGCCAGGTGAGGGGTGGCGGGAGCGATGACGTAGGGACAAGCAGAGTGCAGCACAGCATGCCCTGCCCTGCCTGTTTGCAACACGTGCCCTGCTGCAAACCAATCCCTCCCGCCACCCGTGCCCACACGCCCAACCCACCTGGATGCCTCTGCCGAGAAGCGCTTGTAAAAGGGGTCGTCGGGTGTGCGCAGGCTGTACTCGCGGTCGGTGCCGTACAGCGCAGGGTTATCGCGCGCCTTGATGCGCCCGATGCCCACGCTGGGCGCCGCTGCCTGCGTGGGAGCAGAGCGGGGGGCAGAGGGAGGCGTGTAGGCAGCAGCGGCGTGTGAGTAGCAGGACACTGGGCAGGTTTACAGCAATGCCACAGGCCTGTGTCCAACCAGCAGCACAGCATGGGGCAGGTGGGTTGATTGCCAGGCCCTCCCCGCCCCACCTGGAACAGCAGCAGCTTGCCGCCGATGTGATTCATGACCAGGAAGGCGGCCTGCAGGGCGGGGCCCATGGCGCTCTCCACCTGCACCCGGAAACACAGCGCAGCAGGCGGACACAGGGCGCAGGCCCATGGTAAGTGGCGGGGACGCACCACCTCGTGATGGTCCCCGACCCGCCTCGCTGCTCCAGGATGAGACAGTACCAGCCAGCAACTTTTTGGCTGAGCAGCAGCCGCATGGGGGTTATCCATCAATACAAACAAACACGCACACCACGCACACCGACATGCGCGCCCCGTGCCCGTATCCCGCGCGGCCACTCACAGCGGGTCCCATCACCTGGCTGGCGCGGCCGTAGCTCTGCGGCAGCGAGTCCAGCAGGGCGTCCACCAGGGCGCGGCTGTCCCTGAGGTTCACCAGCAGGTCGTCAGGCAGGGGCACAAAGGGGTCGTCCACCTCCGCCACCACCATCATCTGGGGCTGCGACAGGCTGCTCTTCAGGTTGTAAAAGTGCAGCGTGCTGCGGGAGCAGTGGGGGTTGGGGTGGGGGGTGGGGTGCGTCACTATGTGTGTGTGTGTATGTGTGTGTGTGTAGGGGGAGGGGGAGGGAGTGGCATCATGTGAAACTTGCTGGTGACCTGCTCCACCTCCATGTGCATCAGAATGGCCGCTGCCAACCCCCTAGCCAGCCCCAGCCAGCCCAGAGCATGCCGGCACCTCACCGCCCCCCAGCCGCTCACTTGTCGAAAGTGATGAAGGCCACCTGGGTGCGCTCGTCCCCGGGCAGGGAGTCGAGGGAGGCCTTGATGGTGGAGCAGGCCGCGCCCAGCATGCCGCACGCCGCGGCGGCGAACGACACGTCGATGACAAACACATAGGTGGGGGGCATGGGGGCCCGCACCTGCGCAGCGGCAGGCAGGCGGCGAGGCCGGGCGGGTTGGGAACAGGCAGGGCAGGAGAATTCGTGGCGCGCATCGATCACAACCCTTATGCACGACACGTGTACGTGCCGGTGTGCAAGACAGAAACTTGGTGCGCCCTCCAAACACACTACACTACACACAATTCGTCGCCACCGCTCAGCCCACCGCCCACCACCACCACCACCACCACGCCACCCACCATGTACTCTGCGGGCGCCACATACTCCACGCTGCCGCCGCACAGCTCGGGGCGCTCGTCGTGGTCCAGGCGGCGGCCGTTGGCGTCCAGCGAGCAGAAGTACTCCACAGGCACCTCGTTCACCATCTGGCACACGTTGCACGAGTAGCGCCTGCACGGCGGGGCCCACGGCAACAGGCGTGGGGGTGACACGGTGGGGCGCGAGGTGGCTGCAGGTGGGGACCGGTGGGAGCAGCAGGGGGTACCCTGCACCACCCACCAGCACACCAGCCAGCGCCTCCGGGCGGCCATCTGCCCAACGGTCCTGCAGCAGTGCCACCACCCACCTGCCGCCATCCATCCACGACATGAAGGGGTTGATGTATGTGCGGCAGCGCTTGCAGCGGATGATGGTGCCTCCCGTGGGGTTTGCCACCGGCACCACGCCCCCCGCCTGCGCCATAGGGTGCACCACCGCGCCGTACGGCAGGTGCCACCGAGACTTGAGCGCCTGCAGCAGGGGCGGCATAGGCACAGGTGGCGTGCCTCAGCAGAGATATGACAGGTAGCAAGCAAGCTGGGCGTGCGGCGGTGCTGCAGCCACCTGCCAGCCGCCGCAGAGGAGCTGCGCTGCGTGCAGGCAGAGCCCAGGCCAGCAGCAGCCACCGCCACACACCGTACAATCCAGACCAGCCACGTGTAAAGCCACCGCCTGCCCAACACACACACACACACACACACACACACACCTGCGAGTTGGGCACCGCGCAGCTGGTCATGCGCACAAACTCGGGCTTGCAGTTGACAGGGGAGTAGGGCTCTGGAGGGCCCACGTGGGCCTCTGCCGTGGGCCCAGCGGGCCTCGGGAAGGCCGCCGGGTTGGCGCCGCCGTCGGGGGCCTGGCCCGGCATGGTAGGCGCGGAGGGGCCCAGCGACAGCGTCTCGAATGCGTCCAGCGTGGCTTGCTGTAAGCAGAGAGAGAAGTCCACAGGGGAGTGGATGGGTGGGCGGGGACGAGCAGTCATGGTGCATTGCCACAGGCCAGGCTAGCTGTTGGAGGCATGATGGGCAGCGCCGGCAGCTAGCACCAGCAGCTGCTCACCATGCTGCTTTGATCATAGCCCATGCCCATCCCCATGCCCATGCCTGGCTGCTGCGGAGGGCCCATGCCCATGCCCGGCTGCTGCGGAGGGCCCATGCCCATGCCCGGTTGCGGTGGTGCACCTAGCCCTGGCATCGCTGGCCGCATGCCCATCTGCGGTGGGCCACCCATGCCCATGCCAGGCGGCCCACCCATGCCAGGCGGCGCTGCCATGCCTGGTGGACGGGGCATGCCTGGTGGGCCAGCCATGCCCATGCCGGGTGGGCCGGCCATCGTGGGGGGGCCTGCCTGCTGCATGCCTGGCGCCCCCGGCGAGCCTAGCGGCCGCATGCCCGGCTGCATCATGCCAGGTGGCCGCGGCGCCAGCCCTGCTGCTGCTCCAGGCTGTGCCAGGCCCGGCATGCCCATCGGCCGCATGCCAGCCCCGGGGGTAATCCCTGCTGGCGGGCCTCCCGCCGCTGCCATTGGCTGCTGCTGCTGCTGCTGGGGCGGCATCCCCATCGGCCGTGCCATTCCAGGTGGCCCGCTGGGCGCCCCCGGCGGCCCAGCCGCAAAACCGGCAGGGCGAGGGCCCGGCACAGCTGGCCGCGGGCCGCCGGGCTGCGCAGGTGCAAAGCTGGGGCGGGCGGGCGGCGGCTGCATGCCGCCGGGACCCGGGGGCCCCATGGGCCGGGGCATGCCCGGCTGCTGCTGCGGGGGCATGCCCGGCTGCTGCGGAGCAAAGCCGGGCCGCACCGGCGCTGCTGCGGGCCGCGGTGCACCGGGCATAGCGCCGGGCATTGCGGCGCCTGGAGGCCGCATGCCTGGGGCGCCCATTGGCTGCGGCGCTGCACCAGCGGGGCGAGGAGCGCCCGGAAAGCCTGCAGAGCACAGAAGTTCACAGCCGGTCGAAGAGTCGCTGGCCCTCACGCGTCATGCCGTTTCCCACCCCTCCTGCTGCGGTTGCTCACCTGCTGGGCCGGCGGGCGGACCGCTGGGCATGCCCATGCCGGGGCCTGCAGGCTGCGGCGGCTTGGGACCTGCTGCTGCCGGTGGCGGCCCACCGGGGTACCCGTTGGGTGCGCCACCAGGGGGCCCATACCCTGCAGTGGCAGCGGCGGCGGGCCGGCGGCAGGCCACGTTGAGTTGTGCGCCTTCTCCCGTGATGGCCGAGATCACCCTTGTCCTGGTCGCTGCACCGCACCCGCCCTGCAACTGCAGCAGCAGGCAGCCTCACCAGCCGGCCTGGGCGCAGTCATCGGGCCACCTGGGCGGACACCGGGCTGCTGCGGCTGGAAGGCACCAGGGCCGGGAGGCCGGGCACCTGCAGGCGCAGGGAGCGGGGTGCTCCTTTCAAGACTGCAGCGCCGCGGCCTTGGGGGGTGTTTGGCGCAGCTGCCTGAAAAAGCGGGTTCCAGCGCACCTGTTTGCTGCTGCCCATAGGCTGGATTGTAGCCTGGCTGCTGCTGATGGCCAGACATGGTAATCGGCCCCGTCAACAAAGCCGGCTCTCCATCAGCATCATACAGCCTAGTGGCGAGCGAGATGTACAAACGGATCCCGTCTGAGGACCCTGAGGAGCCCTGTGGCACTTACTCCAACTCAGCATGTACTGCCCGCTCACAGCTGAGTTATTCCGCTGCCCCTCACCCCAGCGCATGTCCAGGCTGCTGCACACACACCTCTACACTGCTGCTGATCACCCTGCATGTGCAGCAGTGCACCCTCCCGTCTCCTTCTCATAGCCAGCGTCTGCCTTGTAGTTGCTGGTGCCTACATACTGCTGCCCATGGGATCGTCGCAAAGCAGCAGCAGCGGTAGGCAGGAGGAGGTGGCGGCACAGAGCGGCAGCGGCGGTGCCGGTGCTGGCGCCGTTCGCCCTGAAAAGCTGGGAGCTGGACTGCTGCTTACGTGCGTCTCTCGCATGCCTGCCTCCGATATCTGATTACGCATCCGGCTGCAATGCTGATGTCATGCTGTCGCTGCAAAGCCACGCTTGACTCTCAACGCCCCACCCCTACATCCCACCCCACACCCACAACAACCCTCGCTCCGCAGATGCGACGGCGAGGTTCTGCTGCTGCAGCGCAATAGCAAGCACAACCATGGCACGTGGGGCTTGCCGGGGGGCAATGCAGATGACACAGATACCAGTCTGCTGGAGACGGCGAGGCGGGAGGCCGCAGAGGAGATGGGGCCCAGCGTGCCGCCATTCCAAGTGGTGGCTGAAGTGCTCACCAAGCGTGGCAAGAGGTGAGGCTGCTTGCTTCGACTGGCAAACACCAACTGCAGGCAGTTGCGCTTTCTGACCAAGCTCTGCCCCATTGTCCTGCAGGGGGCAGAAGGAGTATACTGTCTTTGTGGCGCAATTGAAGCCTGAGGACAAGGCGGCGTGGCAGCCGCAGCTGAACGAGGAGCACAGCGCCTGGCGCTGGTTCAAGCTGTCTGAGCTGTCGAGCGGCTCGGCTGCCCAGAACGCTGCCGCCGTGGCGCTGCATCCCGTGGTGGAGCTGGCGCTGCGCAGCGAGCCGCACAGGCAGGTGGTGCTGGCGGCGCTGGGGGAGGGCACCCAGCCCTGAGCGTGCGGTTCGCTGTTGGCCAGCCTGGTCATGCCCGTTATGTATCATTTCTGTGCCATCTGCTGCCCTGTGATCATTGTCTATAGTGCGGTAGCTTGCATGATTACATTTGCATGGTACAACAAGGTTTGAGGCTACACTTCAAAATATTCCAGGCATCCGGCAAGAACTGAGGAGGAGGTAACGGTACATATGGCAGTCTGTGAGACTGCGATGCAGCCCCGAATGGCTGCTTGTCGCTCATTTCAGAGCGGAGAGGCGGCGCATCAGCTTGGACAGACCCCAGCGCCGCTTGGGCCTGCAAGGAGCAGCTTCAGCGGCTGCTTCTTCATCAACGTCTGGCGTTGCTGGCTGTTCAACTACCCTGCTTGGACCGGGAGCATCCACACCGTCTGGAGGCAAGCTGGCGGCATTAGCTGCTGGAGCCTGCTGGGGCTCCGCCCCCGCCGCCGCCGCAATCGCCGCCTCTGCATCGATGTGCCAGGTTGTGGCGTTGCTGGGACTGGAAGCAGCAGGCTCAGTCTTGGGCCTCTCCCACAACGCGGCGGCCGTTTCCTCCGTCTGCTGCACAACGGCGGCAGCTACCAGCAGCGCCCTGCGCAGGCTGGGGGAATTCAGTGCGGCGCTGCCCGTCCTGCTGAGCTTGGCGGCCACCTGTCCCAGCAAGAGAGCCTCCTCCCTGGCCAGATCGGCTGAAACCGCCGCTGCCATGGCACGCGCCACTTCGTGCCGACGGCGGGAGACGAGGGGGCTGCCCTCCATGCTGCCCCTACTGCTGGCGGCTGGCATGCTTGGCGGCATGCGAGTGCTGCTACTGCCGCCGCCGCCGGCCGTGCCGGGCCGCGGCGCCGATGCGGCACGGCTGCTCCTGCTGCCGGGCTGGGGGCTGGCGGGCGCCTTGGCGGGGCTGGTCGGCTGGATGGCGGCGTAGCCTGCTGCGGCCACCAGGGCGGCATACTTGGGGTGCACTTGCACGGGGGCTAGCTCCCGTGGGCCCACGGGTGCACAACTCGGTGCCGAGCCGGCGTTCTGGTCTTGAGCTCCCTTGCAGGCACCCATTGGCACGTCTGCAACTGCCCCGGCGGTGCCTAAAGGTGCGCGCTGGGCAGCTGTGGGCGCTCTTGGCTGCACCCCATGGGGCCTGGTGTCCACATGGATGCTGATAGCTGCGCCGCCGCCCGGCTGGGTCTCTGGCTTGGTCTCGCCAAGCGAGCTGCGCTGCGACAGCGCATGGAGCGCTGCAGCCTGCAGCTGCTCCTCGCTACCTGTGCCAGTGGCTTGTGGCTGTCGGCTGGTTTGGCTATTGAAGAATGCCGAGCTGGTGGCCAGCTGTGGCCCCGCTGGCGGTACCGTGCCTTTGGCGGCCTCGCCGCTGTACCGCGCCGCCGGCAGCAGCTCAGCCAGCTGGCCCAGTCCTGATATCTCCAGGCTACATTTTGACTCCAGCAGCTGGGCTGTTTTGGTGGCATCGTGCTGCGGCTGCTGCGTCTCCAGCCCCTGGCTGCCAAGCTGCTCGGACCTCAGCAGGCCGCACCGCTGCATGTCTTGCAGCCGGCTGGCCACTGCCGGCATCTCCAGCAGCTGGTCGGCAGTGACGCGCTGGATGGGGTCGAGGTGCAGCATGGCGGCAACGACATCCCGCAGGTCCTGGCTGTACTGCTCGGGGATGGGCGGCACGGTGCCTTGCAGCACCTGCAGGCGGCAGCGGGCGCAACCCATCCCATCAGCAGACAGTCCACTCCATATGTGAGCATAAGGACAGGAAGCTTGGAGCCGGCGCATATGCAGTACTGGCAGCTGTGCGGCAGCTGCCGAAAGGCTGCCGGGCTGTGCCCACCTTGAAGCGCAGCTCCCGCGATGAGCTCGACTCAAAGGTGGGCGCAAGGGTGGCCAGCTCGTGGGCGATGCAGCCCAGAGCCCAGATGTCGGCAGGGAAGCCATACGGCTGCTTGTTGTACACCTCGGGAGCCGCATACAGCGGGGTGCCCACCTGACAGCGCATGAGGGGGGCAGGAGCAGGGGTCAGGCGTCGCATGCGGCGGCGCAGGATGATTCAGTGCCTTGCCCCAGGCTTCTGGGGAATGCTTGCTATTTGAACCCGCCGCTGCAAGCTCACAATGGTGCTGGTCATCTTCTGGCGCATGAGCTTGGATAGCCCGAAGTCGGCCAGCTTGAGGGTGCCGTTGGCGGAGAATAGTGTATTGCAGGGTTTGAGGTCACGGTGGCACACGCGGTTGGCATGCAGGTGCCGCACCGCGGTGGCCAGCTGCAGCAGGAACCGCCAGATGGCCGCCTCGGGAAGGTGACTCTTCTTGGCAGCCTGATGCCTGCATGCGGCACGGGCAGCAAGGCACATGAGAGGGGTTTAGTGCAGTGCACTCACTTGAGGTGGGCAGCCTGTGCCCCTTGCCAACGCACAGACGGCACCGCAAAGGAGTGCAGTAGCCTTGATCCGCCCCACCTTATGAAGCGGGCTAGGGTGCCTCCCTCCAGCAGCTCCATCACAACGCACACGTTCTGCTGGTCGCTGGTCACAAAGGCCTCCTTGAAGCGAACAATTGCTGGGTGCTCCAGCATCGCCAGCACGGCAGCCTCATTCAACAGCTGCCTGCGGCCCTCCGCAGTCTGACCCGAGGCCGGGAATACCTGCATAGGGGGAAATTCAACAGCAATCGCAGGAGGTGAGAGCCAGGGCATGCAGCGCCGCGCAGATGCCACCAGCGGGCTGTGCAGGCAGCGGCGACCCCAGCATGGGCAGCAGCAGCGGTGCGGCGCGCTGGAGTTGCGCGCGGCTGCGACAGCGCCTCACCTTCAGCGCATACTCTTTGCCGTCCGCTTGCCTTCTGGCTCGATATCTGAAGCAGAGCGGGGAGCATGCATGCACACATGGTCCGACTTGCAGCTCAACACTTGCAGCGTGTCTCTCGACCCGCCAATTTGCGGGCTGCAGAAATTTAGAAAAGCGAGTTACTCACACACGGGCAAAGGAACCCCGGCCGATCTCATCTCCCACAAGGAAGGATGTCCCAGTGTCCGACATATGTTGTTGCTGCCCGCGGCTGTTTGCACGTCGCGAGAGAAGGGCGAGAGGCGGGAGAAGTCTGTGCGCTTCCGCAACGCGGCATCCACGTCACGCCGCCGCTGCGCCTGCTGTGGTCTGCTCGCCGTACGGCCCCTCGCTTGCCCCATATCAATCCTATGGTGCTTGATCAACACCGTCGTTCGAGTAGGGCCTTACTCAAACACCTGGGCCGTGACTTACAACGTGCATCACACACAGACTCTCCAGGCACCTCACTCCTCCTTCTTTGCCGCCGCCTGCTGCTGCGCCGTGGCGCGCCGGAGCGGCATGCGCCCGCTGGCCCGCCGCGCCTCGTAGTGCGCCACATAGGATATGGCCACCAGCTTGAGCACATACCCCAGACCCAGCTTGGCCAGCAGCAGCAGCGCCCACAGGCCCACTGCGCTCGCCGCCACCGCCGCCGCTTGCAGCGGGCGCAGCGCCGCCAGGCCGCCGTCATGACGCAGCGCGGCGGCGGTGAGGGCGATGCGGAAGAAAAGGGCGGCGGGGGCAAAGGGCTCAAACCCCACCAGCTTGTGAATGTTGTGGCTCTGGGCGCCGCTCACGCGGTCGCACAGGTCACGCATGAACTCGCGGTACACGCCAGGCCTGCGGTACACAGGGGCGGGGTGCATGGTTCGGCCCGTGGCGGAGATGGGCGCTTCGCAGGGGTATGGCGTGCAGCCCGGCCTCATGGACGTCTTCCCTCCATCTGCCCCTCACCTGATCTCATTGAACTTGCCCAGCACCGCATGCTTGATGATGTCAATCACCATTTCTCCCGCATAGATGCGCGCACACCCGGCCAGCAGCGTGGGGTTGGGCGCTCGTGAGCCGCTGCACGCATGCGCAGGAGCGTAGAGGCAGCCCGGGCAGGGTTTTGGCGGCGCCTCCACCATCCTGCCGCCACGGTTTCACCGGCACAAGCGCTCACTCGCGAGCACAGAGCCTAGTCCAACGCAGCAGCCCCACCACCGTGCCCCACCTGTTTCCCATCTCCTCCACCACCACAAACGCCAGCACCAGCAGCAGGTGGAAGCGCTCCACCACGTCCTGGCAGGCCAGCGTGTAGAGCTTGGTGGCATCAAACCGCTTGAGCACGGTGCCTGCGCAGGGTGGCGGGCGGACGGTGCGCGGGCAGGCAGGTCACGCAGGCAGGCACAGCGCACACCACACGCACGCGGGCAATCGGTCGCCCTGCCAGCAAAGGTGGTCGACATCACAGCACACCGCGTGGCCACGCCAGCGCCTCTTGCCTTTGATCTCCGTGAAGTTGGCGGCGATGAGCAGCGCCACCAGCGTGTTCTTCTTGGAGTTCATGGCCACGCCAAACACCATGGCCTGCGGGGGCGGGCGCAGCGGCAGCGGGTGTGAATGCAACAGCCGGGCTGGGAGGCTGCCGGTTCCGCTGCGTGCACAGGGCAGGTGAGCTTCCCCCAGCAGCCCGCCCCCGCCCCCTACCTGGCTCATGAGCGTGGCGCCGTGCAGCAGCAGCAGCAGGCTAGCTACCAGCACATCGCAGGCGACGTTGTAGGCGGCACGCCGGTCCCAGGCCGCCGCCAGCTGGGTGCAGCTGGCGGCCAGCGCCTCCATCACGTCCACGCCAAACGAGCAGCAGATCTGCAGGCGGCCATGGGGCGGTGTGCGCACACGTGCGTATGTCCGTAATGGTGGGGAGCTGTGTCGGCTGCGGCAGACTGGTGAGGCAGGCGTAGCCCAAAGCGGCAACAGGAGCGCCAGGCTGGCGGCGTGAGGTGCGGGGCAGGCGGGCGCACCTTGTCGCTCAGCTCCAGCGCCGTGTACAGCACAGACAGCTTCAGCAGCTCCTGGGTGAGGTCCTGAGGCAGGGAAACGCGTGTGCAGGCGCAGGAGCAGCTCAGCAGAGCGCTGGCGTGAGCACAGCCTTGCCTGCACCACCTGCGACAACCAGGCCCGCCCTCACCCAGCACCCCATTTCCCGGTCGTAAAACACCCCGTGACCGCCGCCACACCAACCTGCCTCTGCCGACTCACCTTCATCCAGAAGTAGAGAGTGCCTGCGTTGAGGTTCCACAGGAACAGCACCACACCCAGCGACATGGCCGCCACCAGCAGATCAAACAGCTGGTCACCTCGCAGCGGCACCTGCCACCGCTGCACGCGATCCGCCGCCGGCTCCGAGCCCGCCGCCCTGCCGCCGCTCTCGCCGCCCCCGCTCCAGCCGCCACTGGCTTTGGCGTGAGCCAGCAGGCTGCGCCCCACGGCAAGCAGCGCCACTCCCACCCGCAGCGGCAGCAGGGTGAAGATTGCCTGCGGCACCACAAGGCAGATGCGCAGGCGGGTGAGAGTGCAGGAGTGTCACAGCTTGCGCCACAAGGCTTCCCTAGCTGCCACCCATCCCAGCAGGCATGCTAGCTATCCCCCAGCCCAGCCCAGCAGGCACCCCAGCCACCCAGCCACCCCCTCGTCCCAGCCCACCAGGAATGAGTCGAGGCAGAGGGCGACTCCAAACAGCAGGAAGCGCTCCAGCTGGTAGGGCACCGACACCAGCGCGTTGTACACGCGGTCCCGCTCCGTCTGGCCCCACACCACATCGGGCGTGGGGTAGCTGGGCCCCGGGTGCAGCTCGGCCACCAGGTAGGCCGCAAAAGGCTGGTGCGGCCCCGCTGCCACACCTGCAAAGCCCAGCAAGTTTGGGCACAGCTGCATATGGGAGGCGAGCACGGCATGCATGGCAGCCCAGCACAAGGCAGCCTGCTTTGCAAGCAGAGCAACCGCAGGTGCTGCCATGCTCACCTCGCCGCAGCGGAGGCGCCGCCCCCATCGGCGTGGCTGCCGCGCCCACCTGCCCCGCTGCCGCGGCGCTGCCCGCTCCGCCTCCACCTCCTCCGCCCCGAGCCGACTCGGGGATGCCCTCCAGCCCTCCCAGGCCGCCGCCGTCGTGCTGGCGTGCGGTGGAGATGGTGAGGGAGGCGATATCACTCTTGGAGCTGCGCAGCGGCGCCTTGCCCAGGCTGTGAAGATCCAGCGCTGACTGGCTCAGGCTCTCCTCCCGTGGCATCGCCAGCCCCTCCTGGCGATCCACCAGGCTGTCCTGCAGCGACAGTGCGACGCTCCCTGGCCCGGGCGCTGCCGGCGCCGCCGCAGCCTGGCCGGGCTGCTGCGCTGGCCGTGATGCGGCCGCTGGTGAAGACGTGCTGCTGCCTTTGGCTGAGGCATTGCTGCCAGCACGCACCGGCTGTCGGGGGCTCGCCAGCTGGTGGGGGCTGGCTACTTTTCGGGGGCTGGTCAGTGGTGTGCTGCCCGCGCGCTCCACGGCCTGTGCCAGCAGCCCTGGCTGGGGTAGGCTGGAGGCCTTTTGCGGCGAGGGTAGGCTGGAGGACAGCAAATCCTGCGGCTGCTCATCCTCCGCAGGCGTGGCGCAGCCAGAGCTGCTGCCCTCGAAATCTGACGCCGCCAGCAACACGTGCCCCGCCGCCTTGCGCCGCTGCCGCCGCCCCTTCCGGACGGTGGTCCAGTCGCCTTGCGGGGCGCCATCGCTGCTCAGCCGTCCCTGGTGGCTGCCCAGCATCGGAATTGGCGCGCTGCTGGCCTCCATTTCGGGGGCAAGTGATCGTCTACAGGGTCATCGCAGCAAGTGGGATTGCTGCTGGGGCACAGAGACCCAGCTGACTGCACAGATGCACAGAATGGGGCACGGGAGAAGGTCCAGAGGTCATGAACAGTAGGCGGTCTTTCCAGCACCCCCAAAAGCCATATTCTGGCCTCTAGGTAGTCGCAGAGTGCAGCGCAGCCACTAAAAACAATCGTTGCGCAGCAGCCATGGCTTCCCTGTCGCTGGTAGCCAGCGGCCTGGTGGCCAGCACCACAAACCTCCGCCCCTCTCGCACTGTGCAGCCGCCCGCAGCGCTTTCCAGCCGCCCGCAGCGCCGCCAGCTGGCCCCTGCCCCCAGCCGCCGCTCTGCTGTGGCGGTGGGGGCAGCGGTGGCGGCGGCTGCCACCCAGGACGCCGAGGTGCTGGGGCTGAAGATGGCGCTGCTGGACAGCTTCTGGGGCACCGACCGCGGCCTGGCCGCTAGCAGCGACTCCCGCGCAGAGATCAACGAGCTGATCACGAAGGCAGGCCGCTGCCGCAGCGTTGGGCTGCCGTGTGCTGCTGGGAGCCGCACCCTTGTCAGGACCTGGCTGTGCCCCCTTGGTGGCCAGTGCAACCAAGTAACAAGCAGCCATGCCCGCCGCTCCCGCTCCCGCTTACCTGTGGCACCCCACCCCGCCTCCTGCCCCGCAGCTGGAGGCGCTCAACCCCACCCCCGAGCCCAACGAGGCGCGGCAGGCGCTGGGCGGCACCTGGCGCCTGGCCTACACCTCCAACTCCGAGCTGGTTGCGCTGCTGGCGCTGGCGCGGCTGCCGCTGGTGCGCGTGGGCGAGATCACGCAGAGCATCGACCCGATGGGGCAGACGGTGGAGAACCGGGTGGAGCTGGAGGCGCCGCTGAGGTGAGGGGCGGGCTGGCGGTTGGCTGGGAAGTGGGGTGGGACATGGCGGTGCAAGGCCATCAAGCCTCACGGCAGCAACTCTGCCTGGCAGTTTGGCTGCCAACCGCCGGCCGACCTCCCATCCGTCTCCCATGAGTTGACCCCTCTGCAGCAAGACGTCGCTGAGCGCGACCGCCACGTTTGAGGTGCGCAGCTCCAAGCTGCTGCAAGTCAGCTTCGAGGAGGGGCGGGTGGCCACGCCTCAGCTGCTGGCCGACCTGCAGCTGCCCGCCAGCCTGGACCTGCTGGGCCAGCAGATCGACCTGGCGCCGCTGCAGGTGCGGCGGGATGGGTGGGCCGACCTGCATAGGGCTACAGCTCTGGTCTCCCGCCGCTGCCAGGGTGGCATTTTGCGTTTTGCGTGCGGCAGCTGGTATTGGTACCCACGTTGAACGCTCACTCAATGTGCCCCCGCCCACTTGCGGACCCTCTCTCTTCCTGTGGTGGCCCACGTTCCTCCCCTGCGTGTGCCCTGCTTGTGCTTGCCCCGTTATCTCGCAGGCGGCGCTGCAGCCGGTTGAGGGTCCGCTGCGCTCCGCGCTGGGCACGCTGGGCGGCCTGCTGAGCCAGGTGCCAGACCTGCGCATCCCGGTGCGCAACGTGCAGGCCTCCTCCTGGCTGCTCAACACATACCTAGGTGAGGATGGCAGGCATGCCGAACAGACGCGTGTCCCAGCTTCAGCAACGCATTGGGCTCATCGATGTTGTGACAGTTGTGCTAGTACCTCCTTCACAGCCCAGCCTGCCCCAACTGCATCCTCACGTGCATTGCGTGACGCGCTCGTTGGGTGCCCCTGCCGCCCCCATCCATGCAGACGACAGCCTGCGCATCACCCGCGGCGACGGCGGCAGCGTGTTTGTGCTGGTGCGCGACAGCGGCTCGGAGTGGAGCGCAGGCGGCGCCGCCGACAGCGCCGCCGCCGCGATGCACAGCTCCGACTGGGAGGCCATTGAGGAGAAGGACCCTCCAGCCACCTCGTCTGGCGGCGTGGATGTGGCCGGCGCCACCGTGGCATCCGTCGCCGCGGAGAGCGCCACGGTCGTTGTGGTGGAGCCCTCTGCGGTGATCGAGGAGGGGGATGCCGGCGGCGCAGGCAGCCACGGCAGGCTGTACTGAGGCGCTGCCTGAGCTCCACCTTCACCAGCCTGGGAATTCTTTTTGTGTGGTGTTCAGTTGGTTTTGGATTGCTTTGATCGGGTTTGATCGGAAGCATTAGCTAGATTTGATGCGTCTTAAAGCATGCATGCAACAGCATGCCTACTCGTCTTGATGGTCCCCTTCTTGTCCTCTCTCTTGCTCTCTTTTCGGCCATTTCATCTACCACCATTTTATGCAGTACTGCTACTTCTCTTAGCCTGCCGAATGAATCTGCCATGTGCGTGCGATTGAACGCTCTGTTTTACAAACCGCAAGGTGTGGACAGAAAACGACGGCATTGCCTGGGAGAGAAGGAAAAGTTTGCAGCGTCTTGATGCCAACTCAACAGTTGGAAGTGGCTACGATCTCTCCTGCCCTTGTGATGCAGGCTTGCGAGGGGGTCCTGCTGTGCTTGATCATGCCGCTAGGACTGGTTGTGGTGCCTCCCGTGTAGGAGCCACCTGCAGGGGCAGCAGCGCTCAGGGGTGACGGGCGGTGTGTGGGCAGGCGACGCTACAGTGCGCACACATGTGCGGCCACAACAATTTCACCACCGTAGACAATCAGGATGGTATTGCCGCCAGGCCAGGGCAAGCTGAAGGAGCCCCAGATGGCGCCGCTGTCGATGCCTGAGGTAATGACGGTGTACTGCACCACCTGGGGCGCACCGAACTGGTTGCTGAAAACTTTGTCTGCAAGCCAGGTGGCGGCAGGCAGAGCAGGTGAGGCCCAGCCCACGCCCAAACAGCACCTCGAGTCCACAGCTGGGTCAAAGCAGGCGCCGGTGTGCCTCACTGTTGATGTTGAACGCCGGAGTGTTGACAGTCTGGCAGCTGGAGCAGCGGCGCACGAAGAAGGCATCAGTGCCGGTCATGAAGCCTGGGGACGACGGGTTGTACCCCCACGCAATCCATGACCCAGTCACGGTTGCTCTGCAGCAGCGGCAGCGGAGGTATGCGGCACGCGGCGTGCATATGGTCAACAGAGCAGGGGCCCAGTGATGGCGTGCATGCACTGATGCGGCAGGGACGGCAGGGCAGGGCGGCGGCCAGTTTAGCTCACTTGATGGCCACACGCAGCGTTGCACCGTCGGCCTTGTAGTACTGGCTGAAGGAGAAGCCAGGGTTGGTGTCCGTCTGGCAGCTGGCATACTGCACCCCGTCCAGGCAGCACTGGTTGCAGGGAGGCGAGGGTGGCGGAGATGTCGGGGGAGGCTGGGGTGAGGGAGATGGCGGGGGAGATGGCGGCGGTGATGGGCTGGGCGGCTGTGGGGAGGGCGGAGCTGGCGAGGGCGGCTGTGGGCTGGGTGGTGGCGGTGAGGGAGGCGTCGGTGGTGGCGAGGGTGGTGGCGGTGAGGGCGGTGAGGGTGGTTTTGGGGAGGGAGGTGGGCGTGGTGGGCGTGGTGGTCGAGGGGAAGGTGGTGGTCGAGGGGAAGGCGGTGGTTTTGGCGGTCTGGGCCTGGGTGGCGGTCTGGGTCTAGGTGGCGGTCTGGGTCTAGGTGGCGGTCTGGGTCTAGGTGGCGGTCTGGGTCTAGGTGGCGGTCTGGGTCTAGGTGGCGGAGGTTTGGACAATTGGAGTTTCCGCCTGCAATCATGGGAACCAAGGAGAACAAAAACGAGAGGCATTCAGCAACCAACCGCCACCTCGGCGTGACGCGTGACGCGCGCCTATTCCTACCTGAATTCCTCTTCAGCACCCGCCAGCAGAGGTGCTGCAAGCAACAGGAAGTTTTATTAACCAACAGTGAATGCCGTTTCTGTTCGAGGCCAAGGCACCCAGACGTGGCAGCGGCGGTAAGACGGCGGGATCAGGAGCGGGGGGACTTTGGGTGGGGGTTGCATGAACAGGCCGTGTTGGGCCCGCGCAGCTCTCAATGTAAAGATGCGGCAATGAAAAAGTGCTCACCGGCGCTCAGCGCAACCACCGCCACGAGGAGCGGTAGGGCACCCATTGGGGCTGAGGGCGGAGCGTGAACAGGCTGATATCCAGTAACAGTGCAATCGTGCAGCTTGTGCGATGATCGTTGTGAGGAGACGGAAGGAAGGCGTGATGCCGCAATTGTGGCTGGTATCTGCCGGCACCAGCTGGGTGCACACGCTGTGCACTGCTGCATGACTGCAGGGCAACACATCCTACGGAGCGCATTGATTTCTGCACTGCCACAGCCCTGATCCAATGGCGACCAGCATTGCCAGCTATTTCCATGCCAACCCTTCTTGCATCAAGTTACACAGAGTGCGGGACGTGGGTGACTGCCAGGCGCTGGCGCCCGCCGCACCGCCCCATTCAAGTCAGCCGCGCCTCATAGATTGTCGGCCGCAGGTGCCACTCATTCTTGGAGTCTGCAGCCAGGCAGCAAGCACACATGTGAAGCAAAGGCTGTGGGCCAGCAAAGTTCCAATGCTGCCTCAGTCGGATCAACCACCCACCGACACCACCAGTCCCACCCAACCCCGCTCAACGACAACCCCCAGGCAAGCTGCAGGCTCACAGATGCCCAGGTGAGTGTAGATATCCGCCTTGAACAGCAGCCGCTTGTCCTGCAGCAGCCCCGCGGGCAGTGCCTGCTGCAACCCGCGGCGCACCCGCTGCACATCCTCCGTGTCGGTATAATCAGCTGTGTAGGCACACAGCACCCAGGACCCGTCGCTGGCCGGGCCTGTGCTGCTGACCTTGGCAGACATGCACAGCGGCGGCAGCTGCGGCTGCTCGCCGCACACTGCCCGCGCCACGGCAGCCCACGCGGCGTCTGCCTCTGCGCCGCTGCGTGCAAACAGCATCCACTTGCCCTTGAGGATGCGGTGCTTGGTGGCCAGAGCATCCACATCTGCTGCCGTCAGCCGGTCCCCGGCGCAGGCTGCCGCCCCCACCAGCTGCTCCCACTCCTCCACCGCAGCATCCACTCGTTCCTCCACGCTGCCGCTGCCGCTGCTGTTGCTATCGCCGGCCTGCTGCTGCCGCCCCGGAGGCTCCTGCTCGTGCTGCACAACAATCCAGGCCACATCGCGGCAGCTGGACGCAGAGGGCCGAAAGGTGGCCAGAAAGGTTTCCAGTGCATCGCTGCTGCTGCTGCTGGCGGCACCCGCGCCATTTTGCGTCCCTTGTGCTGCAACAACTGAGGTGGCTGCTGCTGCGGGCGCCGCAGCCGTTGCAACCTGCTGCTGCTGCTGCTGCTGCTGCTGCTGCTGCTGCTCGGCCGTGCCCGTTGCGCCTCCTCTGTCGCTGCTACCAGGCGGGGAGTGCCTGCCGACGGAGAACACCACTGCGCGCTCCGGACCATCCACCACCTTTTGAAACGAGTGGCTGGGGTGCAGGCATGGCACCGCCGTCTGCAGCGCCGCC